CGTGCTTGTGGCTGTACAAGAATGTAATAACTCTTTTATATATAAATAAAATAAAAAAACTAAAAAAGGTGTTGAGAAGCGTGCTGCATTTGAATGTGTTAGCACATTCACTGTCCTCGGAGACAAACGCTGTGTGGATGTAGTTATGGAGAACCAGGGTACGACGGATAAGGAAGGTATGGGTTGCACAATATATTAGCAACTTGCTGGCGACAATAACAAATTAAGGTGGAGACTGGTTATGTTACACAACTACCTGGAGAAGGGTCATTAGCGGCGTGCCTCAGGGCTCTGTTTCAGAGCCTTTGTTGTTCTCCTTGGCCCGAGACCAAGCCTGGCCTCGGGCCGGGCTTGGGGAGTAGAACTCCCAGAACCCCATCAAGCACGTATCAAGCAGGTTCAAGAACAACTCTCAGAACCCCATCAAGCAGGTTCATAATACAAGTACACAACTTAGATGAATGGGTGAACACTAAACTGGGCCAAACAGTAGGACTCTAGGTTTTTCTGAAGTTCCGCAATCACGTTGCACTTTTTGACCTAGTTCTTCTAAGTTCTAAACTTGGGAAATGACAGTGACGCCGTCTACCAAAATAAGCAGATTTTGGCCAAGAGTTGCGAAAGAGACTTGGGGTCATGACTGGCAGTGACCCGAGATCAAGGCAACAGTGTACAAACGAGTCAAAGTAAACAAAATTTATGAGCTTGCTGCCCGCGGCTAATTCAAACCCCAGTGGGATTTTTTTTTAATTTTGCCCCGAGGGGCGAGTTTATTGGGCAGCGCCACTCATCTTGTGAGTGGACATACCGCCATAGCAGCATGTACAACACTCCCCAATAGGAAGAAAACCCGCGGATTTGGGTGACACGTGACATAGCATTCCATGCTGGTATGACATTCGCGAAGAATTCAACTAGGTTATCGATTTTGAATGTGTTTAGGGAGTCACTGAAAACAGAAGGGTACCATAATCTTGATTATCTTGAGATGATTTCGGGGCTTTAGTGTCCCTGCGGCCCGGTTCTCGACCAGGCCTCCACCCCCAGGAAGCAGCCCGTGACAGCTGACTAACACCCAGGTACCTATTTTACTGCTAGTTAACAGGGCATAGGGTGAAAGAAACTCTGCCCATTGTTTCTCGCCGGCGCCCGGGATTGAACCCGGGACCACAGGATCATAAGTCCAGGGTGCTGTCCGCTCGGCCGACCGACTCTCGACCGTAGCCCCAATACTTCACTCACTTCTTTATCGTTATCTGTGAAAGTTGCATCCACCCCCTTGCACAAGGGCCCAATGATAGATGAAGCCTTTCTTTTAGATTTTACATATAAGAATTTTAGATTCCTCTCGATTTCACTGATGACTATCAGTGTAAACTTACTAACATAAGTCCTGCTCCTCTAAAACCGGCTATATAATGTTGATATCTGTAGATATCAACACCCAACCCGCACCAGTCACCTACAAGCTATAAAAATAAACATACTTGAGGGAAGACAAACGCACATCTGTCACCCAAATGAAAAAAAAGAGGACAAGAGAATGAAATACAAAAGGGACCGAAGAAGTGTAAGGAAATACTCGTACCCTGTACGAGGGTCAACAAGTGGAAAGCACTGAAAGAATCAGTAAGGAAGAGAAGTGGGGGAGGAGGAGGACGAGGGGTGGGGGGAAGTAGGATGGAAGGGGGGGATAATGAGTGGGAAGAGTAAGAGAGGTTGAGGGGAGGCTGAAAAGAGAGAGAGAAGGGGGGGGGGGTTGCAAGGAAGGAGTAACAAGGTAGACTTTGGCACAGGACATTATGTAAGAGGAAACTGCGTCTTAAGAGAGAGGGGAGCGTGTAGATTGTATGGTGTGGCGATACAGTATGTGTGTGGCGATACAGTATGTGGGTGTGTGGCGATACAGTATGTGGGTGTGTGGCGATACAGTATGTGTGTGTGGCGATACAGTATATGTGTGTGTGGCGATACAGTATGTGTGTGTGGCGATACAGTATATGTGTGTGTGGCGATACAGTATATGTGGGTGTGGCGATACAGTATATGTGGGTGTTGCGATACAGTATGTGGTACGGACGACCACCCCGACAAGACCACCTTCCCACACCTATCGACCACACACCTACACGCAACCTAACCTCTAGCTATTAATTTTAAGCTTCTCCACCCTCGTGGCGTGCGCGCGTCTCTGCTTGCCTGTGGCCGTCTCCAACCCGTTCTCATAAACACATGATAAATGCTCGTTAATCCACAGTTACAGCCCCGCTCTTGTGCCAGGCAAGTCCACTACGGGCTCACCATAGCCCGTGCTGCTTAGAACTTTTTGTTCCCAGTAGCCGAATCTAAAACAACAACAACACACGGGGGTTTGATGAGTAGATTAACGAGGCTCGTTAATCTACCCATCAAACCCCCTGTTTATGAATGAAGAACACTTTATGCACGACTCGCAGCTGATGACGGTCGAACTTTTCTCGAATAGTGCTTCGCTAACGTCCTCTATTCGAATCGCCCCTCTGTAAACAGCCCGTCCTCCAAAGACCAAAAAGTGATTCTATGCACCCGCCAAACCCCCTGTTTATGACTGAAAAACGGTTTACACACGACTCACAACTGATGACGTCCGAACACTTCCGGAACAAGTGCTTCACTGACGAATTGTGTTCCAACCACAACGCTGTAAATGCTTCACCCACGCACCACAAATACAAATAATCGCCAACAGAACCTAAACACCTAACCTAGCCTATGCCTTTATAGGCACAATATGATAATATATTATAATATTAATTTATATTTAAGAACATTCCTGTTTTGACTGAACAGCATGTAAAAATTTATGAATGCGTCTGTGGGGTCGACCGCTGGTAAATGCTTCACCCACGTACTACAAATAATCGCCAATGGAACCTAAACACTTAACCTAACCTAGGACTAATTATAAATCAAAGTCTCACCACAGATCTCCAGTACCAGCTATTGGTACTGGTAATGGCTCCAAAGTGCTTCCACTTACGGGCTATTCATTCCTGTACCACCTTTTGGGTGGCTTAATCCCTATCAATCTATCAAATCCTAACATATATTGATTTATATTTGACAACATAACCGATATTGAATGCACAGAACGTTAAAATGGCAGAATGCGTCTTCCGGGTCGACCGGTGTCTAGACAAGCTTAGCTTGAGGCCAAGTATTGATCTTAAAACCCAAGGCGAACAAGTAAATCTGCCCTCAACGCCTGCCACCCAAACAAACCACAAACTACCCAAGATGCAACACAAGATCCTACACAAGTAAGCCTAAGCCAAGCCTGCATTATACTGAAGTATTACCAAGATAATGTTAACAATTAAGCCTAAGCCAGGATAATCCCTACATTGAAACGTAACCGTAACAATAATGCTAGTTGTAATAATAATAATAATTGACGTAACCTAACAATAATGCAAAAGCTTGTGTATGAAACTATGAGCCAAGCAAGCAATGGGAAACCTGTTGAGGAGCAGCTCGATGTGAAGGCCAAAGTGCTGACGCAGCCAGCCCAGTCAGCAGCGAGCGTCAGTGTGAGCAAGACAGCGTGGGTGACCTGCCCGTCCCAGCTCTGCCCACACTCACCACCACGCAGCCGCCGCCTCCTGCTGCCCGCGATTCATTCCCTCCTGAATCACTGGCTATAAACACATGGTCATAATATTGACACGAGTCTCCGCTACTCATTCATGCACGGGTACTTACCTATCGCCGGTGCCCTGCTCCTGTGCCAGGTAAGTCCACAACGGGCTCACCATAGCCCGTGCTACTTGGAACTTTTTGTTCCAAGTAGCGAATCTATAACAATATACCTATCAGCGACGACGGGACGGTGAGGTCTAGTATGCCCCGCCTACTAGCATTGTTATACCTGTTGCGTTATAATTTAACTATTTAAAATTATAATTTTACCCCGAGGGGAGAGTTTATTGGGCAGCGCCGCTCATCCTGTGACTGGACACATCGCCATACCAGCATGCACAACACTCCCCAATAGGAAGAAAACCCGCTGGGTTCTTCATCCTGTCACTTGTATACAGACTATTCTCACGTTCGAATTTGTTGAATCTGGTTTTAAAGTTATCAATGTTTTACTCGGCATTTTGCATGTTGTGATCATATCTCCCTCTGTTTCTTCTGCCCTCTACAGTTGTGAGATTTAGTTGTTTTAGTCTAACATCGTAGCTTGACCATTTTAGCTCTGGCGCCAATCTTGTTACAAACCCTTGTACTGTTTCACTTTCAACTTTATACTTCACAATTTGCGGATTCTTTGCCGGTGCTGTATATTGAAAGAAGTGCCAGACCAACCAGGTTGTAGTGCATATGTGAGCTTGCGGGCCGCTCCAAACAGCCTGTTGGACAAAGTTATCATAAGTCGAGTCTGGCCTCAGGCCGGGCTTTGGGGAGTAGAAGAGCTCCCATAACCCTCCAGGTATACTCCAGTGGTGGTCTAACAAAAGTTCTGTAGATTACCTTGAAAAAGTTCTTATGTTTGCCAGCGTCTCATATGTTGCCGATGTTACTCTGTGTGCGTTTCCGGTGTTAGTGTTGGAATTATATCCAGTCCCAAATCTCTCACGGATTCCTGCAGTTGCCTTCTCCTTATGGTGTAGATAGCTGCTGATCTCTTTTTCCCTTCCTCATCTTCATTACCTTAAACTTGTTGGAATTGATTTCTTTTGTTATATTCCTCATCAGCTTTGCGTAGTCTGCAAACATCGACATGTTCATTCTCATTCCCTCAGATTGAACATTCACATAAAATTCGGAACAGGAGCGGTCACGTGACAGTCTTGTGGGACCCACACATGTTACATTCTGACAGGCTACAACACCCCTGTTGGACCAAGTTATCACCACTTGCGGAGTAGATTAACTCCCAGAACTCACTCCAGGTAAACTAAGCACACAGCACCCAAGGAAACCATAGCCCCCTCCCCCACCTCCCCAGTAATACTCACACATCTTGGAAGTCCTCGTAGGAGGTGGAGGGTGTGAAGACGTCGAGAAGGCCAATTATCTGAAGCAGAGCAAGAGGGAGACACTGGGTGAGCAAGGCATGGCATGCAACTACAACAATAATTAAAGAGAGAGTATGATCACTGGCCAGTGACCTCGAAAACACACATACACATCATAAGAACATAAGAATAAAGGTAACTGCAGAAGGCCTATTGGCCCATACGAGGCAGCTCCTATAAAGCTTCGCCCACACGTGAAATTCAAGCAAATGAGTATATACACCCATGAGACGTACATCAACTTGGAAGTAAATGCTTCTTACATGCATTTGATTAAAAGAAATATGAAAAGATCTAAAAGAAACATATATATGCATACATACATAAAACACCCATACCCGCTTAAACAAGCTAAACAAAATGGATAAACACCTATAGTAATGAGGGGTAAACAGTAGCAGCCTCCTTGGAAACTATGCTTTAAAACAATTAAGAGAAAATACATTTAAATCTCCACAAGCCGCTTTAGAAATTGATCAACCCAATAATGGCTCTTCTGTACTTTGCAAAGTCAACATTCTGCAAAGTCCAACAAACCTTGTTCATAAGACAATAGCAAACGACGGGGACATAGATTGAAAAGGTGACAAAGGGTGCAGATAGACAATGTGATCAGGTGTAAACAGATTCGTATTAGGGATCGTCTGTTTGTAGGTCGTCGACCGTCCATAGGGAGGGTCAGGAGGCCATAGGGGGTCGTCTGTCCGTAGGGGGAGGGGCGGCAGTCCGTGGATGCTCGCTTTGTGCAGTAGTACCTATAACTTTCACTAACCAGGTTTGGTCACGGGTTTTAGGCTAAGCTTATAGGACTGGTCCCATCCCTCTTCCTTTCTCTATTCCAGGTCCCAGCATCTCTTTCTCCTCTCCCTCTTTCCGGAGCCAATCATCACCAATCTCCCCTTTCCTTCCTTTTTATCTAGATCACATCGTTCTCTCCTCTCCCTCTATCCAGGTCCCATAATCATTATCCCTCTTCTTTATCCAGGTCACATTATCTCTCTTCTCTCATCTTTATCCATTCCCTCCTTTCTCCCCCCCCCCTCCTATTTATTAGGAGGGGGGAGAAGCATCATTATTTAATCATCAAGAATCATCACTATTTAATACACTGGGTGTAGTTGAATAGCGAAAATACAGACGAATTAAGGAACCCGTTATATTCTACAACATTCACATTACTACAGACTTCTAAAGAGGGCTTGATAAGCACCTCAAAATAATATCTGGTTAACCATGTGTAGGTAAATGATACCTCGAGTCATTAGAAAATCGAAGAATCAAGGGGGAGACATCATTACCATATACAAAACTGTCGGGGGACCAGATAACTTAAGATAAACAAAGGCAGATTATTTGGAATAGATGGTACACGAACGAGGAGGCACGGGTGGAAAAAAAGTACCCAAGTGAGCCAGAGAAATTCAAGAGAATTTGTGCAGTGTCAGAGAAGTAAATAACCGTAATGAGCCAAGAAGTGAAGTGGTGGGGGGCAGACTCCATACACACCTTCAAATGTAGATAAGACAGCCCAAGTGGCTCGGGGACCTCTACAGTAGACTGAAAGCTAAGGAGACGGGGCCAAAGAGTTGAAGCTCAACCCCTTACCGAATTCCAAACGGACTTCACAAAACAATGACAATGAAAACTAAACCGTAAAAAGTAAAGCTAAAAGCCATTTATGCAATCAATAACAAAATAAAATTCCCATTGCATATTATGACTCCTTACGATACAATTGCAACCAAAGCAACAAAGCTTTTAAAATAAAGATCATGATTGTAACCACATCACATCTGTGGTTTATGATGGAGCCCGTCACGAGCCCCAATACATCACACACCCCCCACCGACCAACAATCAAAACACACTATTAACACACCAAGACAACAATCTTGGCAATGGGTGAACGCGCGGGAAAACAGTGATGGCGGGGACGTACTGACGCACCATGGTGGCGTTGGCCGCCTGCCACCGCCTCCACCACTGCCCTATCGTCAACAAACAGCCTTGCTCTCGCCTATCTGATAACGCCTAAGCCAACGCAAGATAAAAACTCGATAAACACCAACCGGGAAAACCTCTCACTTTCAAACTTAAAGTAATGTTATCATCAAAACGCCATTTAATTAAGAAATTGCAGTGACGAATCTCTTTTAGTAAATTCAAGCTGTTATATCATATAACTTGAGCATGTTTTTATAGCCTATATAGCTACATAACCAAAACGCTATGACAAATTTCCAAATACGTATAGAATGTCCAACAAATTCAATTACAGCTCTATATAGAGTGCATTTATAAAAGGCTTCCAAATATGTATTTAAATAGTCTGTTCACAACGTAAGGAAATTGCATATGTTTTCTCTTCTATTCGTCCATGTGTGGTAGTTCATATTTCAGCCCGTCCTCCAAAAATGGGGAGTGATAAATGTAACAGCCCCATAAGTGCAATTATGTACTATGTATGACAGTCAGGAATTGTACTTATTTACATTTAGTATTAAATCGTAGTCAAATATATTGTGAATATTTGAGTTTACCTGAAAAGCTGAATGGAAAACCACGTCCTAATTCGCAATCTGTTCCAAAATTCAACAACACTAATTCCAAACCATATTTACAAAGTCATTATTAATGTAACCTTATCCAATTCGAATGCAATGGTTCTTGTTCTATTTTGTGTTCATATATTATATCCCATTAAACACATCACCCCTTCACCATACAAGAAAATGTAAATTTTAAGCTTTCCAAATCACTCTTCGAAAGTGGTATTTGTAATTCCTAGGACTATCTGGCATTCTTCAAGGGAAAAAAACGTTTGGGCACGTTTCCTTACACCTGGTAAATAAGTATTAAGGAGTTAATTGACTCCTGTGTTTTGCAATCCTGACAAGTTTCCTGGCCCCTGACAATGAGAAACGAAATTACGTCAAACTTTTACTTTTCAAATATCCGCAAACATTACTGTATATATAAAAAAAGAACTGAATACAATAAATTTATGTTAACCAAACCACACACTACAAAGTGAAGAGACGACGACGTTTCGGTCCGTCCTGGATCATTCTCAAGTCGATTTAGCTCGGTGCTTTGTTTCTATGGGGTAAAGTCATTACAACTGCACGTAATTAATGAAAACCAGAACAAAACAAAACCCTCAAACCATGCCTAGTTATTTATTCTTCAGGAGTAATTAAATAAGACAAGGGAGAGAACATTAGGACTTAAAATTCTGGACACAGGCAAGCCACCACATTCCAAGTAATGTCTCCCCGAAGCCATTGAGCCAACAATACCAAACAACAAACTCAACTGGTATACATACACCAAGAGGTGTACCTTGCTTCTCGGTGAATATACATTGGGAGATTACTTTAGTATACTTGTTTTTTGGTCAGAGGCTGATTGTTCTGAATGTCCAACACCAAATGAAACCCAACCGGGTAGTTGTTACGAAGTCTTACCTATAATAAAAGAGTACAATGAACCTACCAATAATGCTTTGGGGTCGCTGAAGCTATCCCAAATAGTTTTTATATACATTACTTACATATTTATAAATAAATTAATATATCTATATAGACTGAATTGCATTATATGCTATACATTATATTACGCTCCAATCATTCCCAAGTATGGGGGTAACAAACCCTTCATATTCAAACAGGGCATTTGTATTAAATTTTAGCATACAGTGTTCTCTCAATTTTGATAATGAGCTTCCACAGCTTGAAGCTGTCCTCACGTCCGCCACAACGCTAAATCGCCACGAATTTTGTCTAAGCCTCCTCCAAGTTAATCAACGCAATTGCAAAATTAATAAGTTGTGAGTAGTCAATGCTACTTCCAAAATCAAATCTGCATCAAAGTTTAGCCTGAAGATGAAAAAGGTGGGTAATGTGTTTGACAGTGGCAATTAGCTTTATAAATATTTCCTCTGCTATTGTATGCAGAGTTCATTCTCAGAGAGGAACCGAATTGAAAGTGCCGTATAAAAATAAATATCTATTTTTCTAAAGACAAAAAATTTATGTAAAAATTGCAGTCCATATCCTCTATCAACAATACTTCAAAGCCAAGACCGACTTAGTTATTAAAATCGAGCAGGCGAATCTGGTTTTATTATCACTGGCCGAAATTATATTAAACTTTGACTTCTCAGTGTACCAGCGATCACGTGATTAAATATATTCATTAACTTACAACCAGTGGAGTTCCCGGGTTTATGTTGAGGGGGCCACAATTGCCAATACATGTATTTATATAATTAACGTTTGACGATATTCTTCCGCAAATTTAAACTTGTATAATCCTAAAGCTACTCCATGTAACATTACAATAGATAACAGGCGAGAAAATGGATTGATAAGGTATTACGACGCCTAGTTACAATCTCCAGATAAAATACTTTAAAAGTGCAAGTAGTTGCCGAGCTATACATTATATGTAAACAAAAAATACTATAGTTTATATCCATCACTCTGGAGAAGATGTGTCTTATTACTAGTCGCCGTTACAGGCCTCACTCAGTCAAGTCAACGCTTCTGCTGCATCACCAGTTTGTTTGGCAGTCGTTATATAAAAACAATCCTCCCACGTGCGACCTAAACGCAGGCGCAATTATCAGGAAGGAATGGTACAGCATTCTTAATGCTTGCATGTTGCGCAGTAGAACTGCAAGACAGTTTACATTCAGGGTACGACGAGCCCAAGACAAGAAGGCTGTAAGGATAACGGAGTTCTCACCGCGATCATTAGCCGAGGACATTGCTCAAAATTTAGATGTAACACAATGTTCGCTGAGAAGGAACATCAATTGTGCAACACGTTATATGTTGTAGTGACGACGGTTGTGCATGCATCATTGATAGCAACTTAGTGGAATGGACGCTCATTATTACTCTATGTTGAAATTAACAGAAGTCAGTGCTGACACTATAGCTGCGTTCACGATTGACACTCGTGCACAAATGTTGTCACCTAAGGTTTACGTAAAGGTGCTATCGTTAGGGCCTAAACGATAGCATTAATGAAGAATTCATCCTCCTCCCCATTTTTTTGTCTCTTCTCCCCATTTATCTCTGTCCCTCCTCTCCATCTTTCCCAATCCCCCTCTTCTCCCTGACTATCTCTACTTCCAACTTTTCTCTATTCTTATCTTCCTCTACCCATCCCTCTTTCTCTGAGCGAGTCTCGGGTGTTGCGACCTATATTTACTACCAACACGCATTATTTACACAAATGATTTGTCTCGTTAAGACATAAATTGAGTTATGTTATAATGATAATTTTGTAAGTGTGACATTAGAATGGTCTGTCTTTGATTGGTGGCTCCGATGGAGGTTTTAATTATACAATAGCACAAATTTGCATACATGTTGCTCTCTCACAATTACATTATTCTTTTCCCCACTTTCACAGGACACAAAACGATAAGCCCAGAGAAGACAAGATAGAAATAAAAACATGCCAACTATTCACATCAGCAGCATGTTAGTACAGTAGTTAGTTTCGAAAGTTCCTTACTACCCAAGCGTTACCTGGGGCCAGGCTTGCCTTATGATAAATTGATCAGAAAAGACCACAGATACCTTACAAGACTGTGTAGTTGACATGGTAGTTGTGGTATGCATTGTTATGACCTGCATGTATGGTCGTGCATTTTCAATACCGTACATAGGAGCATTTACCAGTCTTCTAACCATTTAAGAAATACAGTACTTGTAGATCCTTTTGACAGGCAGCAATATTGTTTTGCATCATTCCCATCGACAAAATATAGTTTTGCATTGTTCCCATCGACAAATATCTTGCATCGTCAACAAACGTGGATTATAGGCAGCCAATAACCACTCCTTCCTGCAGCCCTCTGCTTCAAATCCTACTTGTTCTATATTAACTAGAGTTTTCATTGCACCAACCACTATCCTTCCTTAACTAATAACTAAAATCTAAATTTTTCATGCAGAAATTCCTGTCATTAACTCTAAACCCCAGGTATTTAATCTGATCAACACCTGAAGCATTCACACTTATTACTTATTTCAAATTTAGCACACTACTCCAGTCACAACTTCTTCAATATACAAAATGTCTTTGATAAATTAACATAATTCATCACAGCTTCAAAAAACAAGAACAATCTAAAGGATGAAATATCATCACAAAGTAATAAAGAGCGACTAAACATGAAAATAACTGAATCCAAACAACATAATAATTTGTGCACTGCACTCTTATTAATATGATTTGCAGCAAACTGTATAAAACTTTATTGAAAACCCCCAGAATTTATTTTTATAAAAGATGGCAGAGACAAACCGATCCTGACTACTATATCTACCAATAGCAGAGACAAACCGATCCTGACTACTATAGTACTTAAACCCAAATTCTATGTTTATAGGTTTTCATTCACTCGGGTATGGCCCTGTTCCCTTTTGAAATGAGTTCTGAGGTTGGGGACATGAGAAATAAGCTAGATGTGGTTAAAAAAACAAATCAGACATGTTCATTTAGTAATTGTCTATTGGATTATAGGTTGAAATTAAAATTTTGCTAAGGGAATTAAATTACCCTATAGAGAATGAGAAATGCATCCTGGATGCATCTCCAGTTGTAACAAATCCCTCACTGCAACGAACTGGGGTTGGTCCCATGCAGTTCGTTGAATTGAGTTTGCACAAGACCAATTCATTCAATAAGGGATTTTGTTCAGTGTCAGACCCCAGGCAACCCTTCCCTGCCAACAAAGAAAAAACAACCAATGGAGTCTACATCCACTATAATGCATATAAAAGTTTGTGACTTACCTTACCAATTGAGTAGTATAGAGAAATATCTTCATAAGAACCCTGAAGCACATTTAGGCAAGTACAAATCTATCACAACCCATCTTTCCTCGAATTTATATTAAAAAATATATTATGTTTGACCACGGCATATGATAGCGCAATCACTGGTGGACAATTCCAAATTAAAGTCATAACTACAGTATATGACAATTATTGGAGGACGCAAAGATTACATAATGACTAGGAGTTATACAAACTCAACCAGTCTTGATTAAATTGCCAGATTTAAATGGAGGCATAATATAGTCAAGAGTATTTTCATGTAACACAGACACATGTATGTACCACATATGGCACATCTAGTATTACAGGTACATTTCAGTACAGTATTTCAAAAGCAACAGGTTCTATCCAGAATTTAGCATTCAAATCTATATACTGTATACATACAAACATTTATATATAAAACATCACACAAATAATTCAGACACAACCAAAACCTAAACAAAAATATAAAATAATAACCTGTACTCACATTTTCATGGTCCATGTGCTTCAACATGCGTAGCTCACGGTATGTTCTCTTAGCGTGAATGTGTGTCTGGAATGGCCGAGCCAATTTCTTTATTGCTACTTTAGTATGTGTTTTAGAATCCATGGCTGAACTGCAAGAGACAAATAAAAAAACTCTTATTAACATTCAAGATGTAAAATATAATTCATATACAAAATAAATAGATCCAGGAAGGTAGGGAAAAGTTTGCAAGGTTTGCCCACTTAATATAAATGACTTAAGATCACAATTTGGCAAATACAGTACAGTACTGTATTCCTATGGTTATAGGAGCTAAACCATAGGCTATAGCCTATGGTTTAAGCTTCAAAATGTAGCCTAAATTTGCCTACAAAACTTGTAGCCATATTCCATTTAGTTTAGCCAAAGCTACAAGTGACTTATCTATATAAAATACTGTACTGCCCATCCACCTGTGTCTAAAGCAGGAAGTAAGATAATTGCAGCCTGCCTCGCCCAACTTTCCAAAATGAAATATGGGGGAATGTGAGTGTCATAGACCAGGGAAAGTTGGCTTCAGTGGCCCCCCATTTGCCCCCCCCCCCTACAATTTACATGATGTTAAGTCTAAAATATTAGTTGACATTCCCCATAGAGTTGTTTAGCAGTTTCACTGCTTCATAATACTGTAATCAATTTCTCTCATTAACAAATGCCAAATGCTCATTAATTCAGCCACTAAACCCCTTGTTTATGAATGAAAACACTTTACACATGATTCATAATTGATGACGTATATATTTTTCTTAAGCAGTGCTTCGTTCACGTCCTCTGCTCGAATCACAATGCTATAAACACTTCATCCAAACATTGCAAATACTAATAACTTCCAACAAGAACCTAACCACCTAAGTTAGGCCTAACTACTCAACACATTCTAGTATATACTGTAACAATATTAACTTATATTTGAGAAAATAAAAATCTTGAATACACAATACGTTAAAACTGATGAATGTGTCTTTGGGGTCGACCACAACTTGGATGGGCCTAGTTGGAGGATTGGTTAGGAGGGATGAGAGGGAGAAAGAAGAGGAAGGATGAGGGGAGGAAAGAAGAGGAAGGATGAGGGGAGGAAAGAAGAGGGAGGATGAGGGGAAGAAAGAAGAGGGAGGATGAAGGTAGGAAAGAAGAGGGAGGATGAAGGTAGGAAAGAAGAGGGAGGATGAGGGGAGGAAAAAAGAGGGAGGATGAGGGGAGGAAAGAAGAGGGAGGATGAGGAGAGGAAACAAGAGGGGGAAGAGGAGAGGAAAGAAGAGGGGGAAGAGGGAGGAAAGAGGAGGGGGACGAGGGCAGGAAGAGACTTGGACATAGCTGGGTACCTCTTCTAATCAGATACAGTATGCATATTCTATAACTGTATTTTGCATGTACTGTACATGTTTTGAAAATTGGGCAATTTTAAAATTAAAATATCAGCAAATAGGATATGTTTTGGGAATTAAACAATTTACTTTCACTGGGTGCCACATTTTACATTTTTGTCATATAAACTAATACTGTACTGTACTTTATTGTGTCATGGGACTGGCAGCAAGTTTATACATAGAGAACATGTTAGGCTTAAATCGAGGTCCCTCTCCCAGGGTAGAATTACTGACCACTCCTGCGGATGCAACATCACAACAAGCTGACTGACTTCTGGGTACCTATTTACTGCTAGGTGTGGACAGGAAGGGAGGGAATTATCAGGGGAAAGTGCCAAGCCATTACGACTATATAGCACTTGGAAGGGGTCAGGTTAAGGATTTGGAATGGGATGGGGGAGAAGGAATGGTGCCCAACCACTTGGACGGTTGAGGACTGAATGGCGACCTGCATAAAGCAAGACCGTCGCTCTACCGTCAAGCCCAAGTGGTTGGCGATAGGTGGACAGGGGCATTAGGCAATAGGAAATGCATGCAACCATTTCGCGTCCCGCCTGAAACTCAAACCTGGAATTCTCGATTGTGAGTCGAGAACGGACCGAATTGTACAACCGGGACCCTCAATATACAGTACAGTATATAAAAAAAATTGGTATTTAGGCTTTGCATTACTGTATTTGAATTTGGCCTACTTATGACCACATGCTCCAAGTGTAGTCCATTATATATACAAGTAGTACTGTACTATACTTCTTTGCCAGCTTTTTGTATGGTACTAAGAAGCCATTCAGTACAGTATAGATTTAACTGCCCCTCATTACGGACAAATATCTGAGCATTATGATAAAAGGATCTACTGGTTTTAATTTTTTATTTTCATTTCATTTCGTAATCTGGAAAAAAAATGGTCTATTGTTTTAGGTGCAAAATATACAACATTGTTTTAGGTGCAAAATATACAACATATTAAACTGTATATTATTGATCCAGTGATGTCTAAATACAGCACTGTGCTGCATACTTTTTTCTTTCTTTAAAATGCATCCAATTTCCATAATTTTAGAACACAGAACAGGAGGAAGTAAAATACTAATAGCATAAGGAAATACTCCAAATATATACTGTACATGTGATATTTAAATGCACACAAGTGCCCAGAATAATAAAGAGCAATGAAATTATACCAAAATGAAGTTTTGAATGTAATGAATGCCCTCTTCTGGTGGACTACAAATAGCTCCACAAGCTTAACTTTGGTACCACCCGACGTTTGACACCATTTATCAGATGCCAGAGCCAGAATCTGGCCTAATCTAATTAGGCAAAAGCGAGCAAGGAGGTCAGGTTAAGTAATTATGAGGGGAAAGCACTTAGCCAGTATGACTTTATAGCACTTGAAAGGACTATGAGGATAAGGAGATGGAATATGACGATGCAGTGAAGGAACACTGTTGAACCACTTGGACCATTGGGAATTGGGCACAACTTCTGGGCTAGGTGAGTACGACGGGCTCCCCATAGCCCATGCTGCTTGGAATTTTTTGTTCTGAATAGCTGAATCTAAAACAACATCTAAAACATTGGGAATTGAATGCCAACCCCTGCGAACAATGAGGCATTACTGGACTGATTGAGGGCAGATAACCACTAGACTAGAAAAACCCACCAGAAAGCATAGGTGCATGAAAACAAATGAATGCCTAAAGAAAACTAGGCACCCAATAGGGAAATAAGGTAAACTATTATCACAGAGTAAATATATTGACCAGCCCTAACCGAGGGCTCGCACAACCAAAGATATAGAAGAGGTTAGGGAAAGACCAAATGGCAAAGTCTGAAAGTAGAATGGGAGGTGCCCCACACAAAAACTCTGCCAAACCATGAATTTGGGAAGAGTTAGGACATGCCAAGAGATGCTCAAACCACCTGGCAAACCTATGATACAATAGTCAATCAAATGTAGGACAAGGGAGATGCCCATGTAGCAGAAATTTGTTCAGGTAAAAGATACAGTACAGATACAATCTTGCAAAGCAGCTAAAACACTGTTTTGGTAAGTCTTAAACCTAGAATTATGACTGATATGAAGTGCTGAACTACAGTATATAGGCTCCAGCACATGGAAAAATGCATTTATTGCCTTTGAAAGTTATGAGGGTACCATAAATATGTAGCATGTAAAACTAGTGGATACAGTATATCATAGGATATAGGCAGGTAGCCAAGTACTGTTATTCCAATTTAGGCACAATAATTACTATATAATAATGTATAGCAGTAGTGCAGTACTATGGTATGGGAAGCCAAACAATTATGAGAAATTACTTTCGTCTCCCATAGTCAGGGACAAAAAGTTAACAACTTTAAACAAACAGCATGGTTTATTTCTTAAATTTGTATCCAAATAGTACAGCACCCCATTTTCCTGTAACCAAAATGTATAGCACCCTACAGATATCTAACCATATAATACAGCACCCCAATGGACCTGTATCCACATTGCACATCTCATGATCCTGCATTTAAATATAAAGGCACCATACAGGTCTATATACTGTATGCAGATGAAAAGTCACGATAACGTGGCTGAAAAATGCTGACCAGACCACACACTAGAAATTGAAGAGACAACGATGTTTTGGTCCGTCTTGGACCATTATCAAGTCGATTGTGATGAGACGAGGGAGACAAGAGCATTAAGTAAGGCAAGAGGTGTGAGGAGACGGAAATCTTAGAGGAAGATAAGAGCAATGCAAAAGGTACGGAGGGTAAGGTGTAATATAGGGTGTAATTTTTAGGGTGAACTCTTCAGTTTCTCGTGTCGTTTGGTCAACTATATACTGTATATCATCTCCACATTCCTTAGGCATAGATCAGAGTTCATTATTCAAACGAATCCCCAATCACTCTAGGGAAAGTACAGTACAGTATTGTGCTTTCTCTGACTCAGTCCACTCCCCATGGATATATTTTTGTACAGTAGCAGGGCATGGTCAAATCGTATACAGTACTGTATGTACATTTTGACAAAGTTCGTTTTCTGTCGAAACCACATACAGTATTTCTTTAGGTTGGAATGAATCAGCTTAAGTTAGGCTGTGTTAGTATTAGTTGGAATAGGTTAGGATGGTCTGGATTAGGTTAGATTAGGATGGTTTGGACTGCCCAAAATGCTACACGTATTAGTGGCTTTGCAAGAATGTAAGATCACTGATATTATGTACTTTCACAACCCAGTGTACCTTCTTGTGTGTATATATTATATATATTGTATATATTATATATACTGTATATATATTATATTTATATATATTTATATATTATATATATATATATATATTTATATATATTATATTTATATATATTTATATATATTATATTTATATATATTTATATATATTATATATATTATATTTATATATATTTATATATTATATATATATATATATTATATATATATATATATATATATATATATATATATATATATATATATATATATATATATATATATATATATAAATAAATTAGCTGGAGTTTTAAATGAATTTTAAATGGAGGGTGGATTTTAAATGCCAGTGGCAAATGTATTGTTCACTATGTAACTTATCTGCATAAAATAGAGAAACTGTAGGCCTATGTAATAATAAAAAAAAACTAATAAAATATTAGTGGTTTTATTTAATATACTGTACAACTTTTGAACTTATAAATAATATATATATATATATATATATATATATATATATATATATATATATATATATATATATATATATATATATATATATATATATATATTTATATATATATATATATTTATATATATATTATATATATATATAGTTATATATATATATATATATATATATATTAGTATATATATATATATATATATATTAGTATATATATATATATATATATATATTAGTATATATATATATATATATATATATATATATATATATATATATATATATATATATATATATATATATTTTATTTTAGGAATACTATTACTAGTGTTATTATTAAATATGTATGAATGTATTTATTTATCACATATAAAATGAATTATACAGTATAAAAATACAAATAATTTCCACTAGAGTATATTTTCTGCCTAAAAATTCCAGTTTAAAAGACGTATGTGTGTGTGTGTGTGAAGGATCTTGCCTCTCTCTTGGGAATGTCTTTAACTTCCCTCCCATTACCCAAGAAGGAAAGGAGGGAGGATAAAGTTGCTTTAGAACTTACCAAACTTGTCCGTAGGCCCCGGAGCCGACGGGGGAGAGCATGGAGTACCTCCTGGGCACCTCCCACTCCGTCTTGTTCAGCTCCACCGTGTGGAAGTCCGCCTTGGGCATGGCGAAGTGGGTATTGGAGTCCTTGGGCTCCTCCCTGGGCGTCTTACAAGGCCGCTCACTGAGGGTTAAGGAGGCGCATTTGTACACGGTGGTGAAGAGGTGTGGCATGCACCAGCCACGACACTGAGGCCAGTACTACTGTGGCGGCCCCTCGCTCCTCCTCTCACACCACCACACCTGCCGCCGGGGGCTGCTGCTGCTGCTGCTGCCTCCCTCCTCTCCCTCTACCTTCCCCTGCCTCCCTCCTCTCCCTCTACCTTCCCCTGCCCTCCCTCCTCTCCCTCTACCATCCCCTGCCTTCCTCCTCTCCCTCTACCTTCCCCTGCCCTCCCTCCTCTCCCTCTACCATCCCCTGCCTCCCTCCTCTCCCTCTACCTTCCCCTGCCCTCCCTCCTCTCCCTCTACCTTCCCCTGCCCTCCCTCCTCTCCCTCTACCTTCCCCTGCCTCCCTCCTCTCCCTCTACCTTCCCCTGCCCTCCCTCCTCTCCCTCTACCTTCCCCTGCCTCCCTCCTCTCCCTCTACCTTCCCCTGCCCTCCTTCCTCTCCCTCTACCATCCCCTGCCTCCCTCCTCTCCCTCTACCTTCCCCTGCCCTCCCTCCTCTCCCTCTACCTTCCCCTGCCCTCCCTCCTCTCCCTCTACCTTCCCCTGCCTCCCTCCTCTCCCTCTACCTTCCCCTGCCCTCCTTCCTCTCCCTCTACCTTCCCCTGCCTCCCTCCTCTCCCTCTACCTTCCCCTGCCCTCCTTCCTCTCCCTCTACCTTCCCCTGCCTCCCTCCTCTCCCTCTACCTTCCCCTGCCCTCCTTCCTCTCCCTCTACCTTCCCCTGCCTCCCTGCCCTCCATCCTTACTCCCTCCCTCCCCCAGGCTGCCCTCCTTCCATCTCTCCCTATCCCCGCTCTCTCTCCTTCTATCTCTCCCTCTCCTCTCCCCCACCCTCTCCCCCGCTCTCTCTCTCTCTCTCTCTCTCTCTCTCTCTCTCTCTCTCTCTCTCTCTCTCTCTCTCTCTCTCTCTCTCTCTCTCTCTCTCTCTCTCTCTCTCTCTCTCTCTCTCTCTCTCTCTCTCTCTCTCTCTCTCTCTCTCTCTCTCTCTCTCTCTCTCTCTCTCTCTCTCTCTCTCTCTCTCTCTCTCTCTCTCTCTCTCTCTCTCTCTCTCTCTCTCTCTCTCATACTCACAACTTATTGATAACAATAGAAATAAGGGAATAAGTAGTGTACCACATCAAATTGTTTGATGTGGTACAATCAATGTATGATAATGTATGATAGACGGAATACATAGGAGCTACAAGAATTTTGCCCCAAGAGTGTAACACTTACATGCTGTGCTTACTATATTAACCAGCAATATTAAATGGGATTCTTGTATTGTGATTTGTATATTTGTATTCACTGAATTTGTGCTCCCCTTGAGGGACTTGAAGTAGAAGAGGGTAGAAATAGCCTAAGCTACTCTATCCCTTTGAGATGTATTTTTTCTTGTCTCAATAAACATACTTGAACTTGAACTTGCTGTTGTTTATTCAGAGTTGATTTGTTAATTCCACCTTTGTGGGACCTTGGGAACATGTATATATATATACACTGGCTGCCTGTCCCACTACACAATGATTTATTATTAACTTATTTTTTAATAAGTTAATTAATTATTTATCTAAATATTAAATAAAACAATTTATTTAATTATTGCATACTTTATTTAATTTACTTTTAATTTATTTAAATAAAACATTAATTTATTTAATTAATGCAAACTGTACCTACTATCAAGAAGTACTTAATACAGTAATTTAATAATTAGTAAGTATTTAAAAATGATTAAAAAGTACAGTTTAGTCATAGGAAATTCCTAGATTGGAATTCACTACCAAATTTCAATATCAAGTATTTTTAGTGTGAAATGCTGTTATTATATGCATACTTTGTTTTTTTTAATAATATTACGCCTGGGCTGGACGGTAAAGCGACGGTCTCGCTTCCTGCAGGTCGGCGTTCAATCCCCGACCGCCCAAGTGGTGGGGCACCATTCCACCCCCCGTCCCATCCCAAATCCTTATCCTGAACCCTTCTAAGTGCTATACAGTATAGTCGTGATGGCTTGGCGCTTTCCCTTGATAATTCCCTTCCCTTCCTGCAGGTCAGCGTTTAATCCCCGACCGTCCAAGTGGTGGGGCACCATTCCACCCCCCCGTCCAATCCCAAATCCTTATACCTGATCCCTTCTAAGTGCTATATAGTCGTGATGGCTTGGCGCTTTCCCCCTGATAATTAATAAGCATTAATAATATTAATAATAATAACATTAATAATATTAATATTAATAATAATAACATTAATAATATTAATAATAATAACATTAATATTAATAATAATAGCATTAATAATATTAATAATAATAACATTAATAATATTAATAATAAACCCTTAATAATATTACGGACTGATGTTTAATTGATTTGGAAATGCATCACATCTAAACAAAGAGCAGTACTAATTAACCAGACGTTATATGATGATATCCTCAACAGTAGATAAAAAAAGTAATTGCAGAACTCCAGTTATCTAATACCAACATGGTATAAAACCTTATCATAAGCTACGGGATTTGCAATCAGCGTTTAAAGGGAATTCGGAAGTAATAATAATACAGCTGATGCCATCTGTCGGCAGAAAAGAACACTATCAACTGGCTGGTCAACAGGAGATAAGATACAGCTTATGCCATCTGTTGACATTAAATTACACTATTAACAAGCTACCATGTAAAATACAGCTGGCGCCATCTGTTGCGTCAACATTGAACTATCAATAGCAGAACAGCAGCCCATAAGGCGAGTTGTTGTGCTGAAGCAAGAATTCCCAAGCTAGCATCCCATTGGTTGAAACTCTTTGTTGACATTCACAATAACAACCAATCACAGGAAGGGATCAGCTAAAGGTTCCATCCACTTAATAAACCATCTTATAGTTCAATACACCAGCCCTGCTTATGACATTCTGCTCCAACTTTAATCCACCCAGAAAATGAAGGGTTAATTATTTAATTTTTTTAATTAAGTGATAATTAAATATTGCAGGATATAACAGGTGTTATATTAAAATGGCCTGGATACTTAACTTGTGACGTCATTAGTGGGGGTTGTCTCGACATAAATAACATTGATAATACGATGCTTCACCCTCTTATTGGACTACATTATTCAGTTAGATGGACATTTCTGTCAGGTACAAAACAGAAATTGTTGTTCTTTTGAATGTTTTTCCTGCCCGAAACGCTTTGCGTAATAGTGGTTTTAGGCATTGTATGTACTAGCTTTATCTATAAATTTATCAATTTTTGTATAACCTCTTGTATGTATGTACTTTACCTGAATAAACATTTATTTTATTTTTTTATTTTTATCTGGAACGTTCAGCGCGTTGATTTAGCTCATGGCTTTCTGTTTTATCTCTTATATACTATGCATTTTTTCGATTATTATTATAAATAAAAATATGAGATATAAAAGTTGTCACACAAAATATGGCTAAATTCCGCCATTAAATGGACTTTGTCTGGTATACACCCAAATGTACATAAATTTATTACCATTCATAGTTTATAATCCCCTAATGTACCTGTTCACCTCACGGGAGACATCTCCCGTCACGCAGGGTACAGTCGTACCTCCACAGATCTCCAGTATCATCTATTGATACTGGTGATGGCTCAAAAGGGCCACCACTTACGGGCTATTCGTGCCCGTGCCACCTTTTGGGTGGCTTAATCTTCATCAATCAATCAATCTGTTCACCTAGCAGTAAATATGTACCTAGAAGTTAAGTTGTGGGGTTGCATCGTGGGCGGGAGGGTCAGTAATGATAGACTTTGGGAGTGACCTCGGTATAATAATTCAGCCTATATAGCCTATAAGCCTAACATGTATATACATTGGTTGCTTGTTCCCCGACAAATGAATTATTAATGGGGGGAGACCTTTGATAAGCCGCTGGCTTCCTGTCTTCGTCGGGACCACTAGAGAGAGGGTAGCCCTCAGGTAAATTTAAGTAAATATACAACACTTTCTGCAGTAATTAGAAAGCAAACGATAATAGAAAACGCGCAGCACGTTTTGATCAATAACTTAAGAAAAAATAAGATTCTAACTTTATTTGATTCTAACTCTAGCTTACTTGAGCAAAGAGCAGTGCATGAATGCAGTTCTATGAAGCCTGTCGTACCTCCTATACTTGGATGTTGGAAAAATCATAATTATTGCTTCTAAGCTCGTGCAATACTATTTATACTATTTTTTTTAATGATGTATGCAAGTACAGAAGCGCAACTTAGGCTTGTATTCACCGTATCTAGAATCTTTAAGTTAGTTATAACTTGTAACAGATTATCAGGTAAGCACCACATTGCTGTGTATGCCTAAGCTTGTTAAACAAAATAAGACAGACTCACGTTATAGAAAAACACTGACTTGTGTTTTTAAATGGTGTTTAAATATGATCCGCGTTCCCAAAAAACTGCGTAGAATACAAAAAAAACTTTAGAATATGTATCATTACAAATATTACTATTAACTAATATTATTAGTACTATTTTAACTATTCTGATTTTGATATTATTGGTGTGGATTGTTGTTTAGGCTGGTTGTGCGCGGGTGATGGCTGCCGGGTTCCCGCGTCGGATGACAAGAGTAACTTGAGCTGCAGGCACCCTGGCTGCCTCCTCCACACTGCACCACCGCGTCCTGCCTCTCACACCTCGCCATGAACGTATGTGGGGTCTTGTTTACATGTGTTGCAGGCGTCAGAGTCTTTATATTGTTAAGGTGCAAGGCGGGGAAGAATGTAATTCAGCCGCTGGTTGGGAAGATTTTGTGTCATGTTCTCTTGTGTTTATGATGCGTGCCGTGTTCCAGTTACTGTGGGGGGACAGTTACTAGATTGTAATGTACTAAGAGTTACTATGACTTCCTTTGCTGTCTGGACCTCGTAGACGGGGCCAGACGCGGGCCTCGTAGAAATGCCCTGTGAATCAAGGGTCCCAAAATACTTGATTCATAATTTAATTAAATGGAGAACGTGGAATAACCTTCCCAATCACGTCAATGACTCCCTCTCTCATCCAGTTCAAAAGTGAAACAATGTGTTACCTAATCTACTTTATGTAACATACCTTACCTCCTAAATGTCAACCTATGTTTTGCTATTACAGGGTATTGAACATTAATGACTAAACTTTTAAAACTGCTAATTTCTGCCATGTAAAAAAAAAAAAAAAAAAAAAAAAAATGGCATCCCTTCTATTTAGTAAAAATTACTATCTGCTGTTCTGCAATTTCTGCTGAACCATTCACCATGTAATTGTTATTTTGTCTACTGTCTACTCCAGTTCAATGTTGTTTTTTGATATAAATTAATTTTGTCTTAGTTTTCAAGTTTATTTTTACCACATCATGCCCATAACTGTGCATATTAGTGGCTTTAGGCATAACTGTATATACTTGCTGTACCTAGAAATCTAACATTCTTCTTGTATCCCATTTTGTATGTATGTATTTTTCCCCAAATAAATATTATTATTATTACATTATAGGTTTGGATGCTGTCGTGTGCTTGTTAAGCATTTCATTTCTGACGGCTACTGCCACAACTTAATGCATGAACGTGCCCCAATGTGGGTGTGACCTGTTGGCGTCGATCATTTCGGATAAAATCTTGCATTGTTTTTTTCAATGGCAAGATTTATTGTCGTGAATACTCTCCTTTAAATTGATTATTTTTTTCTAGGAACGACAGCAGAAGAGGAGTCTGTCCAAGCATAAAGGAAAAGAGAGGCGGGCAGCCCTGAAGGCGGAGAGGGCAAGGCTTGCTGCTGCTCAGCTTCTCGTTAACCAAGCTAATTCTATAGTAAGACTCTTAATATTAAGTCTTAAGTCTGTTGTTAGCATTTGTGATTGATGGCTGGTGTAGCTTGTGATTTGTTTATATATATATATGTAAAGGAAAAAATGTGACCATGGATTTATAGGACTTGCCTGGAATTTACCTGGAGAGGGTCTCGGGAGTTCTTCTACTCCCCCAAGTCGATACTTTAAAGTGTCATTAAGGTATCGACTTGTGATAACTTGGTCCAACAGGCTAGGGTGGAGATAAATTTTCCCCCATACAGTTAAAACTTGGGGGAACAAAATCAAATACTGTACTGTACAGCAAAGCTAACAACTTGTGCAATGAGGCTGATAAATTAAACTAGAATATCAGTAGTAAATTGGAATGGCAGTAAAATCTAGTGGCCTCAGATTAGTTAAGACAAATCGTTTAGAGATGCTGTAATTTGAATATGTAGATAGAATTACAGTAGTTATCATGTTAAGAGAAAATTAAGAATTTGGTTGCAAAGTTTACTAGCTTAAAATAAAAACCACTTAAATTGATGGAAATACAACAAGCATCCTGGAAAGATGGTGTCTAGTTTAGGAGGATGTCAGGTAAAGGTCTCTCAAGGGTTGAGAATGATTGATTAAACCATGTTAGTGGCTTATGATTTTTGCTGTTTTTATAGAGATCTTGGCCCTTTCTGATAATTCTTATAATCCCCTCTATGGCTTTTAGTATTATGCAGATCCAGAGTGAACATCTATAGTGGGTTGGCTCCATTCTTCAATTTTTTATTTTGTTTTTCTCAATGCAACGTCTGCTAGGGAGAGAGAAATCTTGGGATAAGCTCTTAAAATGGTTTTGGTCTACTTTGTTCTTGCATAATTATTCAAATGACTTTTGCCATTTGTCATGTGGCAGATTTTTTAATCTCATAATTCAAAATACTGTACTGTAACTATAATTTTATCTTTATACTGTAATTGTTTAACAATATGGTATTGGTATTGCTCTGCATATTCTTACTCTGATTTAATCCTATTGATGTAGTCACTAAGGAGCCAAACATAATCTCTAATTAAAGAAGATACTGTATTTAACCATGTTATACATAATAACATAACTATTTCCAGCCGGATCCACTATCGAAATTCCCAATTTTTCACAAGTATGAACGTAATGGACTGAGTTGCCAGCTAATATGTAAGAGAGTCAAAGATGTGGACCCAGACATGTTGGAGTGGGCAATTGATTTATGTAAAAGAAACATGCAACCAATGTAAGTATTGCATCAAAATGGTTCGTTAGTATAGATATGGTAAAGAGAAAAAAGTGATTGAAGTCAATTATTAAAGAATTGCACACCTGCATGACTAAAAATGTTGGTCAGTAAGAAAGTCCCATATACCTCCAAAAAAAAAGTTCTCGGTTAAATTGTTCTGTACTACAGATACAATATGCAAGCTATTAATTGCCTGTTACTTGTATGTATAAGATAATGAAGTTGCACAGATCCAAAATAAAGGAGTCTTAACTGAACTCAATTTATTTAAAATGCAGTTAGATATGGCATAATACAAGCATCACTGCCAAACCCCTTTTTTTTTCAGTACTATATACCCTGTATGGTCACAAGCTTTCTGAATGCCTCGGAACAAAGCAGAGACAAATAACCTGTTGTATTCATAAACGTTATTAATCACCTTGAATAGTTAAGGTAAAAATCCTACAAGTTGATGGGAAAATTTGACAATTTGTTGTACTTGCCAGAATGAAGTTCTGATTAACTTATAAATGTGAGGAATATTGTGCATACGCCAGTATAAAACCATGGCTCAGGAATTTTCAATGATATTCTCTGGCTATTTTCTATGAGCAACCAATCTGCCATTGGCATTTTTCATATTGTTTCTGCCTGTACCATTCCCACACTACTCCATTGTTTTACTCACTGCTTTTCTATTTGGCATTGTTTTATCAATTCAACTTAGCTTTAAGTTTAATAATGTGGGAAAGTAGTCTTGTTTGCTTGGTGCTTTGCTCACACGACACTCTGCTAATAGTTTTTCAACCGTTTAATTTTATTCATTTGCTGGTAGATTATAACACAGCATATTAAATTTCCAAAAGGACATGGTTACTCTTGTGGATGAAGGTACTGAATGTTAAATAGATCTTTCCTGATAAATACCAAATTCAGCATTGATGGAGCATCCCCATCTCCCAATCTAGTAGCCAGTTTGACATATTGATATATGAAAGTCTCGAGGATGAATTTTATTAATTGGCCGGTCTAAAAGTCCTCTGTTCTTGCTTTGTAGGTTTCCCAGTCTATTGGTTTCTAATTGAAGTCACCAAGTATCAACAGTCATGACTTACCTTTATCTGTTGATCATGAGAGATTATACTAAAGCATTCTCTTCTGTCATGTAGCTCTTCCTTAGTCTATGTGTTGCTGATGGACTGCATGCAATAATGATTGTTTATCATCCTGATTGCAGATTTCCAGGGCCATTATGTCGTCTTCTTGTGGGCTGTCAAGTATTAATTCTCTTCCCTTCAGTTGTATCCTTACCAGGAGAGCAACTTTTTCACTTTTACTAATTTTTCTGTTATGTCTCCAAATAGCGTAGCATAGCACATGCACACTTGTATTTATTAAAGTATCCAGTATTTATGTATTGGGATGGGTATGTAAACTATCCATTCCCAGCAAATAAAGGAAATTTGTCCACACAATATAAATTAGTTGATTGGATCAATGGATCTTTAAACAAACTTCTGAAAACATTTCAGTGATGCTTCCACCAAAGTGCATAGTATGCTGTGTGTATCTGGGTTGTGGGAGATGTTTTACACGAATATTAATTTTGGAGAGTGCTAGACACCATTAAAGTAAATATATAATTTTTAATATACTATGTAGGAAGTAGTGCATGTGCAACAGTCTGTGTAATGAGTAATTTGTTTGGCTTTGTTGTAAGTATAAACCAAAAATTATTGGATATGAATATTGAATAATGGAGTTGTCTTGCTTGTCAAAATTGGCTGTTTTTGAGGATTGCTGGAGACAGTGGCTGAAGGTAATGCAAAGGTGGTGGGTGGGTGATGCAGCGGAGGATGGCTGATGATTGTTAGTATCACTGGCTGTGTTTTGAGGTGGAAAATGATGGGTGGGTGGCAAATGCCTGTGGGTCATCATCAGTCTCTCTAGCTACTGTAGAACTTGAAGGTTTTGGGTCAGACTACTACTACAAGATCACTGAAGCCATTGATAGCAACTTCGAGACAGGATTTCTCGGCAGAAGACTTTTACAGGAAGTGTATTCTCAAAAGTACTTTGTACAACTATCTTATATATGTAAATTTGCTTGTAAGTTGCAAAGACATTCAATACTTGTTTTGAGATGTACTGCTGAGACATGTGTAAACACATGTCTCAGCATTGTCATTTTAACATCTTTATGCACTGTACCTGGTTACAGAATCTCTTGTCAAGTTCACTGGTGGTGTGCGGGGTATATGCACTATATATATGTTGTTGCAACTGGAAATATATTACATAAATATATAGCCTAATTTTTAAATAGTTTGTGTTCGTACCCCACAAAACATCCTTCATAGTCCTTGAAAACGTTGTTTAAATCATGGGAACCCTAATATTTTACTGTTGACTTACAGCATAGACAAAAATAAGTCCTGTACTATACAGGTGGTGACTAGGGCTGTAATTATCTAACCTTGAAAATCTCTCTTATAATCTCAGGTATGAGAGAAGCACCCAAGGATGGCATGAGAGTGAGAAGAGAGAGGAAATGACTGAAGATGCTGCTTGGTACCTCATTGCTGTTGACACTGTGGCAGGGAAACCCATGGCCTTTTCTCACTTCCGGTTTGATATGGACTATGGAGATGAAGTTTTATATTGGTATGATTATTTTAATTGATTTGTTCTGATATATTCATGGTGGCATACATTTATTTCTTGCTAAAAAATAACTTTAGACACCTTGGGTTATCACATGTGTTTTAGGTAATAAATGCAATCAAAATTGTTTTTATTAATTTTTCTTCAACAAGGATATGTATTATAAAATTGTATATAACATGCTTTTTCAGTTCATTTTAAAAATAAGAATTTAGAGATAGTTTTTAGAAGAATCTTAAAAAAAAAAAAATGAAGAGTAAGTGTTACCTTACCAAAAGAACGTCACCAAGAGAACACTTTACTTCTAATATGAAAGTAGAGATAATTAGGTGTTGAGAGAAAGAAGGTGGCCCATCACAGATTACCAGTGCGCAGAGTTAATAACCTGACAGTTAGCAGCTTATTATTTCTGATAGTTTGACTTAATTGAAGCCATGAATTGACAAGGAATTTTGTCAGCCTTATATTCTTGCTAGGCAAAAACTTGTAGCTGCCTTGAGGTTTTGAAGAAATTAGGTACAGTACAAGTGCAAGCGAGAAAAGAATGATTGGCAAGCCGTGAGGAGGGTTCTACAGAGGTAGGACGAGAACTACCGGGTAATTTACGTAGGGAATGATGAGGCAGCTAATGCTGATAATAAAGGTGAATCTGATTGTCACACTTTCCAAAATAATAAAATGTGGAAATTATAGTCCTTAACAAGTATTTGATATTAACATTCATTCTTGGGAAAATTGTCTCTAGATATGCATTTCAGAAGGCTGAAAAAAAAATATCCGATTATAAAGCACCAAAGGACTGCTTAACACATTTGTATGGTTCTGCAAACGCATGAATAAATACAGTAGCAAAAACATTAAGATGATGGTTTTTGCATGATTTTGTTCCCTAGGTGAAACTTCTTTTTCTTCCAAAAGTGACATTACTGTAATTTTAACTCTCCCGTGCTAGTCGCCCTGTTTACTTAGACAATATGAATGAAAATGTAAAGGCTGTTTGTGCCTCTACAGCCTTGCTGTAACCAGTGGACCAGGGTGCTATAAGGTTATTCAAGACATATTGTACCCACAGCACCTTCTAGACCCTTGAGGATTTTTGGGGAGGTTACATCATTTATGAATCTGTCAGTTACATAGGGCATTTTCAGGATGAAGTTAAAAGGATCAACAGAAATATTGTGTAGATGAAACTTTGCCCTAAATTGTACATTATTTTAAAGGGGTTTGCCAAACAGATGGCAACACAAATTAGTAAGAAACTGGCCAAATTACTGGATCTTACTGTGGATGATGGCGAACAGATGTTTGACTCATATTCAGAGGAGCATTTCAAAGATATCCTTATAATATCAGTACTGAAGGCAGAAAATGTTGCAGATGACACATCTGCAGAGTTAGTATATGAGCTCCTCCCCAGTTTCTCTACCAAAACAATTCATGAATGTTTATTCAGGTAAAGTACATACAGTACATACAAGAGGTGATACAAAAATTGATAGATTTATAGATAGAGCTAGTACATACAATGCCTAAAGCCACTATTAGCAAAGCGTTTTGGGCAGGGAGGGATGAGATGGGATGACAATAAAATTGATAGAGACCTTGAAGATTGAGGAGTGCTTGTTAATTTTTGGGGGAAGCTAGCCTATATTTGGAAAAAATTACATGTGCTAAATTACATTCATACCTTACACAAATTTTTGGGTGAATAAAATATTAGTTATATGAAGTTCCCTAGTAACTTTGTTCAAGAAAATATGGACCCTAAAGCCTGCAACCGTCTTTGAAGTTGCTACTTGTCTAAATTATGGTATTTTTTTTTTTTTATATTTAATACATTAATTTATATATTTGCCCATACCAAACCTTCCATTGTATGTTGATTGTGAGGTATTCAGAGAAATATGAAAAAGTTCTGGACATTTTTTGTAACTAAAAATAATGCAGTCATTCTTAATTCTTATTCGATAATAATAGTACTGTATAGTAATAGTAGTAGACAAAATAATTAATAATATAAGTACTGTAATAATAATTCAATTTTTTCAAGTTATGAACTGCAACTAGAGATGGAATGTCGCAACAAGGGTCTGGGAAAGTTCATGATGCAGGTCCTGGAGCTGATGGCCTTTTCTAATCAAATGCATAAGGTAGTGCTGACGGTATTCAAACACAACCCTGATGGCATGGCTTTCTTCACTAAATGCAGGTAATTTATACAAGTTTGTTTTTTAAGTCTGCTTCATCTTCCCCTTCTTACTTAAATGTCTAATTATTTGTTTGAGTATCACTATTTGTCAAACCATTTTCATCACCAGCCATAATACCACTATATTTATAAAACTAGACATTTTTAATTAGTTTTTCAACAATACAGAACAATGTTACTGGCACTTGTACAGTGATTGCTTTCATTGCCTTTTCTATGGCCTCGATACCTGTCATATCAACATCTATACTAGTTAGGTATTCCATTCACAAGCCAACATTTCATAATTATTTACCCCTTGCGCTGCACACCTATTACAATATTCCTTAAGAACTCTGTGGGTGCGTCTGAAAAAATAAATTCAAAAGTTTTCCTTTTAATTAGTGTTTAATTATTGATGGGACTAAAATTCCTAAAGATATTAAGATATCACTTCCACTAAAAAGCCTCGACTCTGATAAGAGTACAGTATCTATTTTGATTCCGATTATTTTCAAATGTGGTTAAATATTTATTCTGAAAATTGTCCTATTTTAGTTTGGAATTTTTTTTATTTACATTATGAGCATGGTAAATGTATTTTTAATATAATAAATTGATTTAAGAATAGACAAAAATTGGTAAATCGGTACAGGAAATTTTAGGGGTGGCCATTTACGTGACACCAGTACAGCAAATAGATGTATTTGCTGTACTGGTGGTCCGGCTGGCACTGGTACAGGATAAATGTATAACACTTTTAATTTCCTCCTGTATCTTGTCTCTGATGCTTGCATGTATGTCCTGCACAGTTATTATTTTAAATATTTTCTGGAAGGAATTCCATCATTTGGCAGATATAGTTCATGTGTCTCATAAACCTGGAATCTTCTTCAACAAAGAAAGGTTGTAAGTCAACTGCTATCATTTCTCCAATGTTCTGTAGTTATGAATTTTCTATGGTCTGTGGTCATTTATATCCATAACTTTACACTATTCGGAGGCTTGTCGGTCTTCGTTCTCAGTTGTCATTATGATACCCTTGTGTGTATAAAGATATTGCTAAATCTTTGGGGTTGATCTTTGACTTGTTTGTCTTGGTCACCCCCATATCTCTCACCTCAGAGTTGAATGCTCTAAGGCCCATACCTTACTTATAATTCCTGGGAAGCTGATAAATGCACATTACTTTATTTGCCTTTGTCATAAACTTGTGTTGTCTAAACTCTATTATGGCTGCCCCATCATTTCCTCTGCCTCTTCCTCGACCCTTGTTATCTAGGTGCTCTGCACCGTACTGCGTCACAGCTCAACTCTGGTGTTTTTTGGTCCCCCACCCAGGGCTTATATGTTGAAACTGGAAACCTGTCTTTATAGAATCATTATAATTATAATTATTACAACGTCATTATAATTCTCTGCAACATCTTCATTCTTGTTTATGCTGTGCTTTGACTGTTACCCGGCTTGGTGCTTTTTTGACAATTACATATGTGCAAGACTAGTTTGGTTTGTAAAGTGCCTTTCTTCTCCTTATAGATACGAGATTGATGAGACCTCACCTGAAGACTCCTACGAAGAATCTTTTGACTACCATATCCTCAGCAAGTTAAATAAGATGAAACCCACACAAAAGACTTCCCTTTGATTGTAAATGAACATATTTTACGAGTTCATTTATGAAGCCCCTTGGAACTGCCTTTTGAAGATGATTTACTTTAGAGTTGCAGATGTAGTCATGGTTGTAAGCTTTAGATTACCAGTTTACCTCTTTCATCCTTTGATTTAGTCGTCTTTGCTGTTCTGTCAGATTTTGTTGCCAAAGCATTCCAGGTTTGAATGAATTATTTTTAATGGTTGTGTACAAAAATTTAATTTTAGAACAGTTTTTAAGGTAATATTTGATTACCTTTAGGTCACTCCTAAGCGTGTAATTAAAAATCACATGGCGAACATGCAATAACCCTGTGAAACTTTTTTTTTTTTATATATAATTTGGCGAGTACTAAGGTTTTTTATTACAAATTTAATATGAAGATTGCTAGAAGTATTTGAAGAATTTAAAAAAAAAGCTGAATATATTTAATAAGTAATGAATTTGTTTTCCTACTCCTTATTGTATAATGATTTAAGTGTTTATGTAGTCCTGTAAGGAGATGAACCCCACCACTTTTGTACAGTGTTGATATATTCCTTCAGACATTCTAGTACTTGCTTATCAGCAACTAAGAGGCAGGGATGTCTAGCTAATTGTGTTCTGCTTACTAGCATTCTCGTACCTATTTTATTATAATTTAACTACTGACATTGAACGAATAATCTGGCCTTTAACGTAGAATGGTGGTAACTTTCACCACCTTTGGTGGACACACATTCCATTTATCATTAGACCCCTGTTTTCTCTTCCTAGTTACTCCAGCCTGCTTTTCCAACTTGCAATTTGTCTGGAAAAATATCGAGTGTTGTCAATCTAGGAAGATGTAATTCACCTCTTTCCTGCTTAATCTGGCAACCTAATTGCAGAACTTGGCCAGGTTCGTAAAGCATGCCTTTTCCCTAAAACCATACTGTCTTGGATTCAGAGGTAGTTCTCATATGTTCCACTTTCCACTTAGTTTTGCCATTATTTTGTAAGGAATAAAAGTCATTGGCTTAGGTCTATAGTTAATTAAGGCTTTATAAGTTTACTTTCTTGAATATGAGTAGCATATTTATAGTCTACAAGATTTCTGAGAGTTCCCTGATTACTAATGACACAATTTAGATCCTAGTCAAAGGGTTACATTGTGTCATTGCTGCTTTCAATATCTATGATAAAATTTGGACTTCTTTACGACACCTCAGTTACTGTTACATTAGATATACAAGACATCTTAGATGTTAGCAAAGATTGGAGATAAAGCTTTGATAGTTGGCTTAACAATTTGTTACATCTGGTTATCATTACTGGCACTTGCTGCACTATTCTAAGAGTTGCCTGTATGGAGGGAGCATTGAAATCTTCAATTATCTTTCATGATGAAAGGGGAAGTAGATTAGTCTGGTGACCAAAATTTCCTCATTAAAGGCTAAGGTGCTGAACAACTAATGGTTTCAATACTAAGCGCTGTTTTCCCCATCCCTCCAAAATTACTAAAGGCCAAGTGTGATGCCATCCCCATAAAAAGAAGTTGGTTAGTAAAGACAACTCTTTCTATAGACTGAGAAGTCGTCTATTCTTTCCAAATACAAGTACTGTATTACACATGGGTACTGTAGAATCCGGACTAAGTATTGTACACTGGTATAATGATAATGTGTTGAGAGGAACTTAAAGTGCTTCGTGTTTGACCTTCGTTAAAAAGAAATTATTTGAAACGAATTTCAGCTAGTCTTCCTATACCCACCAAAATGCCTTGTAATGAAATTGATAGTTATTAAGATGTTTAACAGTTTTTGATCCACTAACAAAAATAGAAATACAAAGGTTTTAATATTTTACAAATAATTACAGTACTGTAATTGATTTTCTAACGGATGAAACCTAGCTTGTATATTGATGAATAAAGTGGAAGATTGATTTATGAAAGATAGATAATGAAGGAATAGAGTACACAAGGAAAACAATTACCGTAAACATGATACAGGTTCACATGGGCTGCTCTCCCTGACACCACGGGCAATTCCAAATTAATGTGAAAGGTAGAATTTTGTTAGATGTAGTGGTAACAAAAATAAGATTCAGTATAATAAAATGTTATGGTTTATTAATATGCAATAAAGTAAATTCAATGCTTTTCTACTTAGCCTTAAGGATTATTAATATTCATGGTTAGCTTAACACTTTGGTGGTGTGGATCCTTATTGGTATGAATTAAACTATGCTCATAATGCAGTATATTTATTTATTTATTTTTACTACTAAACATTAACTAACAGCTGGGAATGTTAATGTACAGTTTAGTTTCCTGATGGGATTCAGAATACAATATAAAATATTTTGGTATACTTATTAACTTGTAAGTATATTTTATAAATTTAGGTTAGCCGATAAAATAGTATTCTGTTGAAATTCTACGATTTATATAGAACTGGTTTTTAAAGCCATGAGAACTTTGACCTAAAAGTTGTAAATTTGTTTTTTTGTGACAAGAAAATCACACCAAGGTGACACCTTCATAAAATATATTAACCATATAACCCGTCGACAGGTGATTAAGTCACCTTTGTCCAGCTAGAAGCCAAGTGCCATACTTTGGTTTTGTTTATAAATACAAAGTGCTACAAAATATAACACTACGTAACAATTTTTTGCCTCCTGGTAAACTCTAGGAGTCGGCAGTCTTCAAGACGACATTCCTAAGCTGTCTAAGATACAGGTCAAAATAAAGTTTGAGAGGGAATAATAGCCATTTTCTATACTTTGGCAGCATAAGGAGTTGGAAAATAACTATCCAGGGGGAAAAAAATTAAATTTGTTACATAGTGGATAGATAAGATAGAGATGAAATTATATGCACTGCCTCTTAATTCCTAAACGTAGAATATGCACTAAAAAATCAAACACTCGTTTGATATACATACAGTAGAGTAGTTTAGATAACAATGGAATGCATCAATTAAGTGCCTACCCTTGGACATGTCGACATTGACTGCCTACTGAAAACTGAATTCATTACCACATCATTTTGTCAAGAGTTTACATTGTGAATTTCACTAATTAGTACATATATATCTGAATTTATAGTATTTAACATATATATACCGTACTTTTAACAGTTTTAAATAATTTTAAAAATTGTAAATAATTTTAGACAAACTTAACAGCAAACAGACTTTACATACACTATTTCAAGTCATCATGCAGAAGAGAGTTCAACAGGAGCCACCGAAGGAATGCGGGGCACAACTCCCGTGCCCAGAGGTATGCCTCGTTTTGGAATGTAGGGACCCTGACGCTCAACCATTCTGCCAAATTACAAATTATTATTAATCTACAACCCATAATTTCATAACAAAAATTGCAAAAATTGTGAAGATATTTATTATCTCGGCAAACTGACATTTGAAAAATATTAGAGGAATTTGTTATGGTTTGAGAAAATAGATATATTTCTGGTATTACAAATGAATTCGACGTATTGCGTAGTGGTTCAACATACCTGATACAGTCAATAATGGGGCAGACTGACACACACAGTGTGCATCCTGTACAATCATCTGTAACTTTTGTCAAATGAGTCTTGGGGTCAAAGGTGATTGCTTGATAACCAGAATCATTACAGGTCATGTAACATTTTCCACAGTTGATGCACATTTCCTGTAAGTATATTTTGTTCATATAATGCACTGCAATATTACATGATTGTGTGAATTATATGCAGTACTCTTAGCCTCTGAACTTAGACATGCTCCACCCTAGGTTTTTTCACAAGTGACGGCAGACCAAATGATCTTTGTCTATTGAAGCAGTTACCTACCCTTTTGCTACTGTAGGCCAGATCGGTACTCACCTAGTGTCTATTGAAACAGTTGCCTACTCTGCTACAGTAGGCCAGGTGATCTCAATTTACGGAAGCAATTACCTATTCTATGCTACCATAGGCCAGATGACCTATTGGGAATACTGTAGTTACCTACCCTTTGCTACAATGGGCCAAATGGACTGTCTACTATAAAAAAAAACATTTCACATTTCCATTGTTCCAATAAACACAGTTATTGGAACTTTTATTTGTCCTTTGTTATTTATGTTTTATCACTTCTTCCTGTATACTATATTTATGCTTGCTGCTGCAGGCCTCATTCTGTCTACAATCTTTTTCAGAGTGCAAGTGGTGAAACATGTTTTATCGAGATAACGGAAATATCCTATGAAGATTGTAAAAGTGACCATCACTTTTAAAGAAAGGGAGTTTGCAAGGAGAAAAAAATAGGCAGATGGAATGGATGTAAAGATTTTTGATTAGTGGTCTCTGCCTGCTCCAGTCTCAAAAGTATGTCTGGCAGTAAGCGACCAAAATGAAAAAACGAAATGGTTAAACTTTCTTGCTCTGGATCTGAATTTTATTTCCTTTGATAATATGCAATGGTTTCACCTTGCTCTCTTAACATCCCATCACTGCTTCCTCAAGACACACTCGGCAAGTCTGCCCATCTTCTGACACTTCCTCTCGTTACCTTCAAAGTAACTCGCATACACAGCTTGCCATCATCCATTCAATCAATGTGACCAATTACATACACTAATTCTGTATCAATTGATCAACCCAAAATTCAATAAAACTTAAAAAAAATTATTTTTATTAAAGTTTCAACAAGATTTGTCTATTTTTCTAATCACTACGCAAACACATTATTGTTCTGTTAATGTATAAAACATTTCCAGTGCTAGGTTCCAAGCCTGCACTGCACAATCATATAGAGAAGAGATGAATAGAATACAAAAAGCCATGAGAAAGCAACAACAAAAAAGTATTACATACTTCGTCAATGAGAGCGACCTTCTGTTGCTTGTTATCCAGGTCTCCGTATGTTCCAACCATGGGTAGGGCTTTACCCACCATGGCTTGAATTGATGGGATTCCATTTTTGGGGGTGTCAATGGTGCGGGGGGCAGGATCTGGCTTCAAAATGTCTATCTGAATTTTATGCTCGGCGATTGCCTTCTCTTTCTCCTCCCTATTTGGACCAAAGTTGGCAAGACCCTGTTGAGAATTGTTTACTTCAGCATTTGTTCTTTTAGAAGCATTTGTAACAAAATAATTTTCCCAAAAGTGATAAGAAAATCACACAAATGTTCAGACTTCACAAAGAAATGTAAATAATCTAACAAAAATTGACAATCCCTAATTTAAATTTTAAAATTTGGCTTTTCGACAAATGGTACGTTCAAGGAAGGTGCTAATATGAAATTTAAATAATTTGATCAGAGTTTGAGTCCTGGTCATGGAGGATTGATTGATGGGATCAATCTGTAATGTTCACCTTGCCATAATTGGGTACCTGGTTTTTAACTAATTAGCAAGGTTGTGTTCCAGGGAAAATTGGTAGGGAAAGGTTATGAGAAGGGAAAGCAGCTCTGAGCCTGCTAACAAGGGTCAGAAATTGTCTGTTCCTGTACCCATATATCAAAAACAAAAAGATAATAATGTCACAGGACACAGTAATGGGTAACAATCCTGGAATTTGAATAAAAATGTGTTATATGACCCTGCAGGAATGATATCAACTCTTGTCCTCTTGCTTGACTTATCTCGATTATCTTCTAGGCACACACAATGGAATACCCATGAGAGAGTCATAATGTGCTCGGAAATTAATTTTTCACAGGCTCAAATCACACACTTTTTGCATTACAGGCAGAACAAATAATTGTGTAAAGTACATCACTCACCTTGCCAACAATACTGCTAAGTTGCACTATAGGCTTCCCAACCTGGTGCTGAGGGGTTGGAGGAGACTGACCAATCCAGTTCTTCTTGGACTCCAGTGAGTTCAGATAAAGCAAAGCCTTAAGGCCAAGAATATAATCCTCAATCACTGTGAAGTCCTGGTTCTGCACGGAACTGCATACCTGTGAATTTTTGTTTCATATTTAAAATACAGTAATGTGGACTACTGTATATTCTTAGTGTAATGGGTTTGACATGTCTTCAATTTCATTTTTACACTACAAGTACTTTTATAATTAGACATCTATTATACAGTACAGCATCTTTATTGTGTATAGAATAAAATGCTAGTGATTAATGGGTTATTCAAATATATAAATAACTGGAAACAAAATGAAACTTCTAAAAATAAAAAGATTAAAGCAATGAATATTTCTGAAGAAAACATCCCACAATGAGCAAATTGAACATGCATTGAGAATTAAATATGTCAGTATGTACAAATATTTCCTTAATTATCTTAATCTATGGCAATGAATTTCAATACAGTATCTTCAATCATATGTGCATTCTGTACATTGGATTTGGCAAAGAGTAAGCACCTGTGCATATTACAAATTACACCTCTGTAGACCTCCAACTGGATGATTATTTTTGTTTAGATCTAATGAGGTATGAATGTAGAACACTAAAGAGATCAACATTTTTAATAACAGTACTGAATGTATGCAAAATTATAATATAGTACATTTTCAGCATAAATTCATTCTTACTACTATAATGCTACATATATATTATATGCCAATATGTTCTAACCTGTAGTGCTGATGCACCACCTAACAGGAACTGGAGACCAGCCTCTGCAGAATCTATGCCGCCTGTGGCAAGGATAGGAAAGTCGGGCAAAGCTCGACCAATGGCCGTTACAGCTCGCAGAGCAATGGGACGAATTGCATTACCTTTATAAAGAACAAAGATTACGGATATTATTACAAACAACTTAATGTACAATACTACATATCAGCAAAACTAATGACTTTGAATGTGTGTAAATTTTATTGACTATCAAAGCTGCAGTTAGTTAAATCAAGGACTTTGTACAGCATTATGCTCACTCCTATAATAATAAGATCAATAACTTTGTTAGATCTGTTATTTTCTTCCACAATGGAGAATAGTTCTGTATTAAAGAGATAAACAGAAATAGTATTGTCTTTGTGAAGTATGTTGCATTCAGTGATCTCAAGTTATTCATTAAAACGAATGAGCATATTGGCAATTGCTGGGGAGGCTTTACTATGAACATCTTATGAGATACTGGACTGAATTAATTATAAATTGAGGGTTATGATAAAATACATTTACTGCTCTATAGTCATCTGTTTGTAGCTTGCTGAATTGCCTATCAGCAACAAGTGAGAACATTAATAATTTATCATGCTTATGTTTCTTAGAATGTTCAACTTAATACAGGTAATATTAGTTTGCATATACTGCATATAATATGTAATTATAATTATTATGATAGTAAACATGATTATGAGGGTAATGATTAACAAATACTGTTCAGTAATTTATATCCATACCTGATACTCCTCCATAGGTCGTTCTCTTCTCCTTGCCAACAGATGGCCAGGCTGAACCATCTGGTAGAAGACCCATTAAGCCAGATACTGTGTTGGTTGCAGTTACACCATCTGCTCCACCTTTGTAATAACATAAAAAGAATGCTATTGGTTCTTGCAACTGAAAAATAAGCTTTGTGTAAAGCTATTACTGTATGAAATTATGAGTAAACACCAGAGCCAAATCACAGTAAAGACTTTTGGTACATGATTAGTAAAATTTAAAAGGCCTTGAAACAGGTAGTAGTGATGCTGGAATTCCTGATGGTGGTGATGCTAAGCTTAGCGGAGTGAGTGGGGGTAACGCCACCTCACCACCACCTCCTCAACACAAAATTCATGGAGTCTCTGATGTGTCTTTTCCAATAGGTTTAAGTGTTTCTGAGACACCATAGGTCTCATTATAGACACCATGGTGTCCATTGAACCCAAGCAGCAGCTCCTGGTACTGCTGCTAGAGGTGTGTAGTGTGCTCACCTAGTAGTTCACCTAGTAGCTCCTAGTGTGCTCAACAGGCACCGCCATAGACGACATTATGTAGAGTTCTGGTAAAGGTTTTCAACCACATGTGCCCAATTTTTATGATTCAAACACTGGTGCGAGCAGTTTCTTTGTTGCTGATGACAAAATGTGTGAATTAGACTATTTCACTGCGTATTTTGAGGAGGCATTCATTCAACACAGTGAGAATAAAACAAACAGTTGGGCTGCAACTGTGATTGATTCTGGGGATTTACCTCCACAATTATGTAGAATGAGTGGAGACACTAATGCAGCAGAAAAGTATACATTCCTGGCTGTAATAATGTTGGCACATGCAAAGAAACATGTTATAGAAGAATATTGGAACAAGGATGCAGTCACACCGACCTCCGTATTGTCCAAAATTCATGTCAAGACACATTTTGGCTTCAGATGCATACATTTCAAGAATAACGATATACAAAATAAAAGTGACTGACTCTGGCACATCTGCACAAACCTCAATAACAAGTATAAATCTTACATGTGCCAATGCAGATGATTGTAACTGATGAGTCTCTTATGTTGTTCAAGGGAAGAGTTTCCTTCCAAAAGTATATACAGTACTGCACTGTAATAATGGCACAGGTAAGGCTAGAAACTATTCATCCTTTGTGACTGAGACAGGACTCATCATAGAAATGATCATGTATTCTGCCACTGATGTAGATGTGAAAAAGAATGCTCCACACAGGTTTTCTGGCAATGTAGGAAAGACACTGATGGCACCACTGATGGACCTGCCTGCCTTTGTCTGAGACAAGTACCACTATAGGTGATTGTCAGCATAGGAAAACTGACATGTTGGCACTCAAGTTCCAACATGTTGTCAGAACAACTTTTATCTCGCACATGATATTGAAATAGCCTGTACAATTAGGGGGTTAATAAGGATTTTTTTTTTTTTTAGAGATATAAAATAAATTGTAAAATGAGTGCAATTTTTGTTGTATTTTGCAACATAATTATATATACACAATTCCTTGGTGTATATGCCTACTGTTTGTATTCATGGTGATATTATATGCAGTACATTAGAAACAATTATATTTGCCAAAATTAGGTAGTATTAAACAGACTGAAAATCAATTCAAGCTAGACCCCTTGTTCCCACATTATATATATTTAAACGTACAATAATACAAAATGATCACAAGTTTGTTAAGCCTTCCACAACCTCACTCCTAAATGATGCCTCATGTGGAAAACAAAATGACAAAATAATCCCTTACCTTCATACGCAGCCTTAGCAATGGCAACAATGTTGGTCACATTGGGCGTGAGCTTTGCAAAGAAGGGAATTGAAACTGCAGCGCGTACCCACCGGCAGATATCTCGAACCAGTTCTGGATCCTTGCAAGAAAATAGCAATTATATATCTTTGTGGACTGACTCTCAATAAATTACATACAGCTATAAAACTGATACAACAAGAAGATTTTAAAATTTTAAAACATTATACAAAACTATTCATCGTTCTTTTAAATCTGTTGTTTAATGTAGTAATTATGTGAATTCAAATTCTATTATATACCTATCATTACATTTATTTTTTATTTAAGATTAACTGTTTCACATCCTAATTTTAAATTCAATTACACATTCTGTACTAGCTTTAGGACCTGCCTGAAACACCTGTGTGTGTTAGTGGCATTGTAAGAATGTACCACTTAATCACCAGCATATGTACTTTCACAGCCCATTATACCTTCTAGTGTATATATAAATATATATATGTATACAATATATAATGGAAAGAACCATGTAGAAGCTAAACCAATTCAAACACAGATACCATATATTATACAGATGCAAATGATGAGTCACAATACCGTGGCTGAAGAAATGTTGACCAAACCACACACTAGAAGATGAAGAGATGACAACGTCTCAGTTCGTCCTGGATGACTATCAAGTCGTCGTGATAATCGACTTGATAATGGGCCATGATGGACCAAAACGTCGTCGTCTCTTCACTACACATTATACATATTTTACATGATCAAATGAAAATTTACATTTTTCTTTAAGAGTGCCTTTTTACATAATATTAAAATTGATCTTATATTTAGGAAGAAACAATTGCAGTATTTGCACACACATCTCACCTGGCCGCATGCTAGACCCATTCCACGCTCGCCCATACCATGTGGACACGACAAGTTCAGCTCGAGAGCATCAGATCCTGCCTCTTCAGCCCTCTTGGCTAGTTCAGTCCAGTCTTCAGCATTAAAACTGCACATGATGCTGGCAATAAGCACCTTCAGGGAGGAATACGTATAATGTTAACCACTAAGTTTATCCTACTGAAAGATAATTATGCAATTGTAATTTAACAGGATATTTCAATATTGGAATTAATTAAATTAAACTGATGTATTTAGCAACTTTGTTACCACAGTATGGCATAATATTTTCAAAACTTAACACCTGGTAATTTGCAGAATATTTTTATATGAAATTTATAGATTTTTGGGGTCTACGGGTAACAAACCTTATCTGGGAAGTCTCTCTTAAGCTCACTAATGCTCTGTAGCCAATAGGCACATGTTTTTTCAGAGATGAGCTCTATGTTGAGGAAGGAACCTTGGCCAGGACCATATATGTGACCCGAAGTTGTTCCTCGCACTATACGAGGTGATACATTAGTTACGATGTCCTGAAAGAGAAGAATGCACAATGATGTTATATCTAGGTGGCAGCATGACTTGATGGTTATTTTTCTTGCTTGTCGTATAATAATTCACTGTGTCAGGGGACAGGAAGCCAGAGTGTATTCACACACGTTTGGCTTTTATCCCCCCCTTCAGGTCAAATTACTGACCCTGCCCAGGATGCAACCCCACATCAAGCTGACTAATTCCTGGGCACCTACTTATTGCTAAGTGAAAAGAGGCATTAGGTGAAAGGAAATGTTCCCAACCAATTCTGTCCTGTCCAGGATTCGAACACGGAATTCTCAATTATGGGTCGAGAACGAACCCGACTGTGCTACAGGAACCCATGATATAGGCAAGTGTTCCATAATGATCTGGTAGTGCTTTTCCTTGTTTGCTATTTAGTTGAGTGTTCTATAGTCATAAGTTCTGTCAACAGCAGAAAGAAAACAAACAGTGTATAGCAATTTATAAAATAGTAATAGGAAAGCAAATTTACCTTATCAAGAGCAAATGTCTTGCTGACACAGAAGCCCCAGCCAGCCTCATATGCTCTACGCATCATAGGTGCAGCTGTCGTTGGTGGAGCAGATGCCAGGCCAAAGGGATTTGGGAATCTGAGGATGTACGTAAAATCTTGATTATCAGAATATAGCTTAAGATGTTAACATAACAAATTAAATAAAATCTGATGATCGTTTCTCATTCTGTATTTGTCGTACTGTACTGTACTCTTTAATGCCACCAAATTTTTGGTTACAGTATTAAATTAAAGATGAACATTCTACACTGAAGTGTGCAACTTGCTGAACAATACTAAAACTGTCGTGATCACAAATTGCATTTAAGTAGAGTAAATAACTCAACCTACACATGAAATGAAATGTAAGTAACAATGATTTATTTCATGTGTGTGGGTTACTGTATTTGTTTTAGCCATGTTATTGAGACTTATTCCCTACATTTAAGTGTAGTATTAAAGTAGTACTTTCCACACTACTTTCTGTGACATGACCTTCAGTTTTCATTTGCATGTAGTACAGTACTATATTCGACTTGAACAGTTGTACTCTAATGAAAAATTACTGTACAATAAAGTATAATCATTCTAATTAATTGGCTTGTCTATTGCTTAGTAATTTTCCTTGATTCACAATCATCTTCTCTGAAAGTCCACTTTAACCCTTGGTCTGCATACCTGTTAACAGCTGATAACCCCAGTGTGCAAGAAAAAATGGATTTTTTTTTCTCTTCTAATATTGTTAATATGCATTCCCTGATTATGGTGGGGAAAAAAATTGCACAGTACAGTATATGACTTACTTTGGCCATGATGAAGTGTCCCAATTCACAAGAGTTCGAGTCATCCCTAGTTAATCACCCGGGCCAGGCGTGTGGGTGGGAATTGCCACAAAAATATTTTTAGATATCTGTTTCACTCTCTCTGATTAGTTTATTTTTTTTGCAATAATATTCAATAGTGTGACATTTGAGAAATTTATATAATAAAATGTGTGGAACATCAGAATGCTCAAATATATTCTTGTTGTAATATGCACATAATATTATATTCTTTTAACAATAAACCATTAACTTTTGCTGTTATTACACTACATACACATATATATATATATATATATATATATATATATATATAACTATCTACATTTTTATGCATCAAAACGAACCATAAAGCAGTTCTGGTGGGTGTTGTAAGGACAAAGGACAGCATAGCACCACATGCTACCAGCAGACTATTCAAGCAGATGATGCCACCTGACTTGGCAAAATACCTCCAATATTGCTAACTATAGCCACAACACTGCTATTATTATCAGATTCCTGTAATTAATCATATGAATAATTTTCCACAAGTTTAATTTCTGAAGGAACATAATGTCAATGGGAGTGCAGATGGATGAAACCACTGTTGTGGGCTGTGAATGTCTGCTTCTCGCTGTGAACATCATAACCAACATTGTGTTGGTTATGATGTTCACACGGGAACATAATACATACATACATACATACATACATACATACATATATCACAGTAAGTGAAGTAGATGACAAACCTAAGACAAACAGAATTGTATTGAAAACAAAATAGTAAATTATTAATAGAATCATAATGTAAAATACTGAAAAACATACTTAATACCACATATTGTAATAGAGATGTCCACCTCATCAATGGGAGTGTAAAACTTTGGCAGCTGTGGCGTCTCAGGAACAAAGAGGCCATGGAGAGACTGTTGAATACAAGAACCACGTTTTGCAATATAATTACAGTACATCCACACTGCAATACTACACACTAGTTTGATACTTTTTCTCAACCATTACCATCTCACAAACTGCTGTTCCAGTGTCATATTTTTTTTTCTCTTTATCTCTTTGTATTTTATGGCTTGTTCCTTGTTATTTTCTCAACACATACTTTGAAAACAGAAAGAAAATATGATTTTATATGCAGACGAGGAGTCACAATAACGTGGCTGAAATATGTTGACCAAGCCACGCACTAGAAAGTGAAGGGACGATGACGTTTCGGTCCATCCTGGACGATTCTCAAGTCGATTGTGCTGGAAGATTACAGATTACAGTCGACTGTGTTACAGAACACAATCGACTTGAGAATGGTCCAGGACGGACCGAAACATCGTCGTCCCTTCACTTTCTAGTGTGTGGTTTGGTCAACATGATTTTATATATATAGTACCTGTAGATATTTATGAATATGCCAAGCAGCTGTCTTTCCATCATTGACACTTTCAACAGAGGTTTCAGCCACACCCGCAATGTCTCCCCCGCAGAAGACACCGGGTTCGCTTGTACTCATCGTTTGCTCGTCCACCTCTGGCTGACCCCATCGGTTCAATTTCACTGGTGCCAAAGCTGAATGAACTGTGAAGAATTACAACAAATCAGCAAAAATACTAATAACATAGTACAGGTAATACAAATATAGTAACACATTTGTTCTGTAATCTTCCAAGGATCATTTGTTGAGCATTATTTTGAACTTTGAATATGTCTTTTCCTATGGTTTTGTACCAAGTGACTGTGGACAGCCTTGTCCCTAGCTAGGGAGGGCCTCATTAAGCCCAGCAAGCCTCCTCTCCCTGACAATAAGAAATGGAAAAGAACACACACTATGCACCTCATAGAAATATGAAATACAGAACTGTATAACAATTATTTAACCCTTTGAAACTGAAAATAAATTGAATTAAAAAGATTCAACTATAGATCAAAGTTAAATTTATATTTATTTTTAAGATTTTATATACTGTATAATAAAGAAATGTTTTAAGGATAAAAAATATAATTTAATTAAAAGTGAAGACTACTGTATTTTTTAGATTGCAATACAGTACTACAGGTATATTTGAATATCAAAATCACAATTTAATCCACTTTGTTACTGTGCCGATTAGATTTTTACACACAAAGAAATTAGCACCTTTGGCTTGCAGCAATACAAAAATTATTATTCATAATAAATGAACTAAACTAAAACTAACTCATTTATCAAGACTCAAATTTGAGATACAGTATTGGGTAGGTGTGTGTGTGAGGAATTTATAAATGCTAAGGGAATCAATAATTTCTTATCAACTAAATAATAACTTACTATCTGCATCTGAAAGGCCAGAACCAAAGGCAGAGATTATGAAGTCGCACTTCAGTTTGAGTGTCTGATCTTCGTCATCAATCCAGGACCCATCATCGTTTTGATATGTGCGCACAAACTCCATGCCTGCAACTCTTCCATTCTTCACGATCACTTCACGCGGTGACAAAAATGGCAGGAATTCGCACATTTCATCACGTGCAAGTTCCATCTAAGGATAAAAATGATTTAACTAAAATTGGTAACATCTCTAAATATCTGGATTACAGAGAATAGGCATAATGGGTAAACCAAAGGCTAATTACTGAAGGACAATGAAGAAAAATGAAGGAAGAAAGTGTGAAAGTTGCTAGAAGGGTTAAGGACAGGCAACTAAAATGTGCATGTAAAGTATGAGGGTAAAAGGAGAGCAGAAGGCATTATGATCTTGTAACTTGTGAAGCAAGGAGAGTATGCGGCAATGAATAATATTGTTGTTAGAAAAGTATTTTGTATTATAGCAAAATTAAAGGTCATTTGTAGGTCACAACCAACAAATAGTTTGGCCCGTCCTCTTGAGTTGTCACAATGTCACGAAAATTACATACAGGTACTTTACTAAATTGCCTGAACCGAACCTAACCAATGACCCACGCAGAGAAAACCTGATCTTTCAAGAGCCGCTATGATTTATAGTACATCATATTTTGTCCATTGGGGGTTTGGACACTAAAAGATGATGTATAATTTGAGAGGCCAGGTTGAATAATGAACACAAAAGGTCACCCATGAAAAGACATGAATTGGCAATTCCAATCTAATGAACGATTACAACTTTAACGCCTAAGAAACTATAGCCAAGTTTGGAAGCATTATAACAAAAACACTTATGCTTAGCAATCAAGAAAAATACATACCTCTTCAGGAACAGCCCGAATATTTGTAAATCCTTTCCTGAAAACAACAAAGACACGTTTTGCCCCACAGCGCAGAGCAGATGTAGCACAATCAAAGGCAGTGTCTCCAGCTCCCAGAACGAGCACCACACCCTTTACAGATGGCAGCTGGGCCTTGCAAGCACACATTCCTAAGAAGTTACCAATTTCAATTATTTAATTTCTATAATGAGGTTCACTATGCAAAAGATGTTAGAAAATAAATGTATTAAAAATCTGCTTAAATGTTACCATGAAGTTTTTGAGCCACATTATGTTGAACCTCTGTCGTCTCAGGATAATTTGTTACTTTTATGACTTTCTACACATAATTTCACTTTGGTGCATACAGTGCTGTACTACTGCAACTTTGAGCACACTATTCAACTCTTATATTATCAATCTATATACTGTATACAGTGGATTCCTAGTCCAACAGAAGTGATCTAATGAAAAATTGGATGCAGTGTTAAGATTCTGATCCAGTTGTGGTTGGACCCAACAGATATAATGTCCAGATAATTAAGAAATTTAATTTAAAACAGATTTGTGATGACAATACTGTACGTCAATTCACAACATATTGTTTATATTATTTTAGAATCAAAATTTGGTCAAATGTTTGCTTTACGACTTTTATTAATAAAACACATTAAGTATGGAAAAACAGCAAAGATCGGATGCACTGAAAGGGATCCATAACCAAACGTTCTGAGTGGGAATGTATTATAATGCATAGCATATAATATAATGCATAGCAAATTGCATAAATTTTTTAGAGCATCTCACCTGGTTTACTAGCTGCTGTCACCAGAGGCAAAAAATCTTTACTTGTGTAGAAGCCCATGTCAATGTTAAGATCGGCAAATATGCCAATTTTTTTAGGCTGAGGAAGGCCAATGCCAACAAATATGGCCTCGTATCCCTCTTGCTGTAGGCCCTGAAATAACATTTAAACACCGATACAAAAATATTTTCCGTAATGAAAAAATTCAATATTGACCAGAGGAGGATTTCAGCATATTAAGCAAATGAAATATTTATGGTAGATTTTAGGAATACAGTACATGCATAAACATGCAGTTACTGTATATAAAGCAGTGTATAAGAAGAATTCTCTATACAGTACATATTTACTGACATTTATTTAAATTATTACTAACAAAGCTTCACTCATCATTAGAAAATGTGTAGCTTGAAGAATACAGTGTATTTAGTACAGTATTTACCTTAATCGTTATATCAGACTGAGAGAGCTGACGACCATGATGTACTTTCACTCCAAGATCTTTCATAAGGTCCACTTCAAAATTAACCACTTCAAAAGGGAGTCTGTATTGTGGGATTTCAGAAGAACTCAAACCTCCAACATAACTGTTCTTCTCAAAGACATCAATGTTGTGATAGCCAAGACGTCCCAAGAAGGTTGCACATGATATTGAGGCTGGTCCACACCCTAAAAAACAAAAATTCATTTTGAGTTTAATTTTAACAAATTGTCAGTAAAAAGTTAATGGACAATTACTTAACCCTTTGCAGATGCTCACATACAGTATTATTATGCATAAAACAATGGTAGTATTACAAACCAATTTACAAACTAAAGTATTATGTCATGGTCAATTCAGATCTCAATTTCAATCCCACTCTCTGTATATAAATTTGCACCCAAATCATAAAAACTACAATACTGAATGAAATGAAATGCCTCTTTCTGGCGTGTCTTTGTTGGCTCCTTGTTGCTAGCTACCTGGATAGCTCCACCCAATTCAATATGCACTAGGCTCTTGTGAGCTTACTGTCGACCACAGGCCAAAATCTGGTCCCTTCTATAGAGACACAAGGCACAAAGGATATCAGGTCACTAACTAAGAAAAGACAGTCAAGTAATGGGAAAAGGAAACAATCATTAAAGTAAAACAAACATTGAAACCGAGACACCAAACTGGTTAAATGAATCAGTCATGAAGCAGGTTAATTGTCACTTACACCCGCACACCACTAGGCAACAGTGCACATAGCGTGTCAATCCTCCGGCTAGACAGTCTCGGTCATTTAGTCAGGAAGATGAAAACTGAATCCATGGAAAGGGGAAGGGATAGTCCAAGGAACCACCATTACATTCAACATTAGTTTTCTGGAAGGGCTCCTAAGGTGGCTGCTTGTCACTACAGTATATCTCCACAGAGAACAGAATGAAAAGGGAGAACTGGAGAAAAGGTTGACAGGAAAACTGCAGACAGAAACTCCCATAGAAAGAAAAATAACAATGAGAAACCCACCCCAAAACCACTACAAGATCTGATTCACCATGGGTGATGCCCACAAGCTAAGAGGACCACTAAGAAAGTGCACCCTCAATCACTCCAGAGAAAACAACTCTGACCATGCAAGGGCAGCACTAGGGAGCACCCAGGGAAGGCAACCCTGAGTATATGCAGCTCCAAGCACTCTACTGCCAGGTTCACACTAAACTGCAGTATACAAGGAGAGCCACATAGGGCAAAGATCTAAAACCACTTCAAATCAAATTAAGTCAAATGTTTATTCAGGTAAAAGTACATACATACAAGATGAGTTGCAAACATAATGTTGGATTTCTTGAAAGAGCTAATACATACAATGCCTAAAGCCACTAATATGCACAGCGTTTTGGAAAAGGTGTGAGAAAAAACACTAAGACTAAAACTTAATACTCCTGGAGACAATCAGATATTTTCTGGCTGATGTCTGAGAACCTACTGGCTCTGAGCATGTGTCAATGTATTGCAGTAATGTATAGACAGACTGAGTCATGCCCATGCTAGGATGGAATTGATGAAAGATGTGCAAATGTAAAGATAATTGATTTTGATAGTGTAAGAATGAAATAGATGGAAGGAACTGACCAATAAGAGCAATCTTTGCATCGTAGCTCTCTGGAAGGTCTGCTGGTAAATTTGGTGGCCGAACTTGGGGAATATTCATCTGACGGAATATCTATTAAAGAAAGAAAATTAATACAGTAATTTTAATACCTTACTTTCAACAAATATTAAGAACTTACAATCAAAATAACTCCTTTTGACCAAGATGGCCTTCAAATGCCAGCCTTTGTAATTAGATCAAGAAATCGCTTATACATAAGTAGAAAAATAGTTTCTCTTGGAATACAATGAAATTAAATGTAATTAGATGCAATATGAAGGCTAGAAATACAATAATATAAACAGTGTATTAAATGATGCAAAGATATACAACTCAAAATTACCTCTGAGACATAATTACTCAACACAAATCAGCAATCAGAATAATAACAAACTCCAATACCAGACAGTATTTCACTTCATTATTTTAGTATGTCATCCTTACCAAAATCTATCAATATGTTAATATTTAAGTCAGTACTCAGACTCTCAAGTGTACTCTATACAGTATCTATAAAACTCTGAAGTGCAATACTAATAATCCTGACTTCAAACACTTCCTAGAGGGTTGTAACAAAACCCATGGGTATCACACATGAAACAAATGTCTGTTTGATATTTCAAGAGTGCAACTCAATGATAGCAGAAATGCCGTGCAAATTTCTCACAGGGGCAGAGAGTAAGGAAGGACAATCAGACATTCTTTTTGAGTTTTTTTTCAAGTTGTATTTTGAGGTGTAGCCCTATCTTGACATTCATGACTTCAGTGAATTCGAGATTGTGTACTTTAGTTCAATATACTGTGCAGCAAAACAAATATACATTAGAAAGAATGGAAAAACCTTCGGAATGACACCAGTGTCTTATCTGTGATATGATCCCTGCAGATAATGGTCCTCGGATAAATCTGGATCTACATACAGTATTAGTTTCCTTAAAAATTATTAATATGCATATACGGTGCTATACTGTAGTACTCACATCTGTTGCAAACTGCTGTAAGCCACCAATATTTATGGGACCTTCCTCACTGGCATAGAGGTTACATCCACCTACACAGAGGTCACTAGTTGGACACACCATCCCACACGTCAGTCCCAGTGGATTGTCTGAGAAAATCATCTTGGCCGCCCCATAGTAATTCTGCCAAGTTTTACGTTCAAGTGATTATTTCCGTCATATGTAATATATAAATATTTAATCATCTTATTTGAATATTTGATTGTAAATAAAAGTATTTTTATACAAAATCTAGAGGGAATTTAATTTAACTGACAGTCTTCTGAAGGCAAAATCTTTACTGTTCTTGAATTTTATGAGATAACTGTATAGTTAATTTAAAAATACAGTATGATAAATTTCAGGACTCTCTAAACACATCACAATGCCTGCTGCAAGGTGTGAGCCAATCATATGTATAATCCTGTCATATACAGTAATATAAATCAAAAGAGGAAATCTAATTATGTATGCAATTATGTCATATAAAAAACATGTAACGCTCAAGCTATGTATACAATACAATCTTTTCATATAAATTCGGCATTGAGTGAAGATCTACCCATTTGCACAATATTATCATATAAACATTATGAAGTTCCAAATACTATACATGTATATGTATAATTTTGTCATAAAAATTAAGTGTGAAGGGTCATTACCTTATTAGCAATGCAAGAGATGAACTGCTTGATGTCAAGCTGTGTCGGACAAGATTTCTGGCAAGGTGCATCAGCACACTTGAGGCATCGAGCAGCCTCACGAAGAGCACCTCTTTCACTCAAAGTTGTATGCTTAATGTCGTCAAAGTTTTTTTCCAAACTACAGTTGATCTGTTGAAATAAAATGTTTTACTTATTTTATTTATATATACTGTACAAGAGTTCTTACATTTTTGTCCTGAGAATGTAAATACTGTACCTAATTTAAAATGAATGAAAAAGTACCTAACTTAAAAATTACCTGAACCTGTCAATAATCCTCAAATTTTACTAAAATGTACCTACTAATTTTCTTCAAATTTTCCTACAGTGTACCTGTTAACTTTTTTCAATTTTGCTACAAATTACCTACCTAAAATTATTATGTTAGATTAAGGACCTGCCCAAAACACTATGTTTGTTACTGGCTTTACAAGAATGTAAAAACATCAATGATATGTACTCTCATAAACTCATTATACCTTCTTGTATATAAATAAATAAATAAATAAATAAAGATTAAAGACCTGCCCAAAATGCTATAGTTGTTAGTGACTTTACAAGAATGTAAAAATACCAATACTGTATATTGTAATCTCACAAACCCATTGTACCTTCTTGTAAATAAATTATTATTATTATTATTGAGTAGCTTAAGGACCTGCCTAAAATGTTATGCATGGCAGTGGCTTTGCCTGAATATTGCACTCATACCCCAATGTGTGTACTTTCTCATCCCAATGTACCTTCTTGTATATAAATAAATAAACAAATTTGTTTATCATTATCTGATACATACAGTGCAGTTTCTGGACTTGTTCCGTTTCCAGTTCTTCTTATCGGCCTTGGTGACAGTGGAGGGCTGAAACCTGGCATGGCTGCTGATGCGTGGGTTGAGGGCCAATATATTCTGAAAACAAAATAGAAACAAAAGCAATGAGAAAAGGATGATTTAATAGTAAGTGTAAAAGGTGTAATGAGGTTACTCCATTATCAACCTGCAGTAACACAATGGAATAACCTGACTTTTTTCATAACACATATACAAGAATGAGGCACTATAAGATCATACAACCAGGCTTGCAAGAACTTTTTCTAGGACACTAGACAAGGAAACCTGCAGGTATGGAGAAATTACAAAACAAAAGAACGTAAAGCACAGGGAGGTACCTTAGAGAGAGAAACTAAAAGACAATTTGAAAATGGCATGGCTGATAAAGCAAACTCAACCGAAGCTACATCACAGCCACATATGAGGAAAACAGCAGTAAATGTACAAGTTATGAAACAGGATTGAGGAAGGCACATTTTTTGAGAATGATTGATGTTAGTGAGGAACTCAACAGAAATTTCTATAATGAAATAGGAAGGCACCTGCTGGAGCTGGACACAACTAAACTGGAACCAGACATGATCTCACCTAAGAGGGGAAGCTGAAACAACACTGAAACAGGAGAACTGCCAATGTAGGCAATGAAAGGCAGCCAATGTAGTGCACATATGCAAGAGGGGAGACATGAATCACCTATATAGCTGATCTCATCGAAACATTAAAAATAGAGTACTAAACAATTTGGAGGATGTTCATCTGGACAATGTCTTCAAAAGGTCAAATGTAACGCAGGCAAGAATTAACAGTTTCGAGCTCAACTTGCCACAATGTAGGACTGAATACAGATGCTTTTTCACCCACAGTTATAAACCCGTGGAACCACCTACCTGCCGAAGTCAAAACTCTGCTTGACTTTAAAATCCAGCTTGAAAAAAATCATCAGGACAAATGGGAGGGACCTTTGCCGGCTTCCTGTCCTCATTGAGGCCACTAGTGTGTTAGTGGCCCTCAGGTAAAATTCAGGTAAATATAGATAGCTGGGGGAGAGGGTGGGGTTAACTGGCAGCACCCGGGTCTCTCACTCCTCTCTCCCTTTCCAATATGTACCCCACCCCTTTCACAATCTCTCTCATCTCTCTTCTGCTATCACCTTCCAATCTTCTCTTCCCCCCTCTCCCATCGCCAATTTTCTCCCTAACATCTCCTTCTCCTCTCCACTCCTCCCCGCTCCATTCATTTCCACCCTCTCTCTCTTGCATCTCCACCTTAATTTTCTTTCCCCTATCACATCTATCCCCACCCCCTCTTCACCTTTCTCCCCATCTCACCTCTCCACCTTTCTCCCCATTCTCCACCCCCCACCCCCCTCTCTCCCAATTTTTCGTTTTCCTTCCCTCTCCCAGTCTCCATTCAATCCCCTATCTCTTCCCCCGTACTCCCCAATCGCCGTGTCTCCACCTTTCTGTCCACTCTTCTCCAACATCCCCCACTTCCCTCTCATCCCCCTCCTTGTCACTCCCCTCTTTTACTTCTTTTTCCTCCCCTCTTCCACCCTCTCCACCTTTCTCCCTCCACCTCTCCTAACATTCCCCTCTTACTCTTTCATCGCTCTCTCTTTCTCTCTCTTTCCCTCCCATTCTCTCTTCGTCTGACCCTCTCTCCCTCCGTCAAGATCTCTGCTTGAGGTTCTTGTATTGTTCAACAAAATTATTCGCACACCCTCCGTCACTATGTGATGGGGTGCGACAAGGTACGCGAATTCAGAGACAATTCTATAACAAATGTTCAAGAGATGTATAAATGATATGCTTCCAGAAATCTTGGCCAAAAATAAGGACATATTGGGTAATTAATTTTTTTGGGGAAGGGGAGGGTCTGTAATCATGAATAGGTAAAAAAAAAAACTTGATCTAGTGCAACAGCCGCGTCTGGTCTCACCCAATGAGCGACACAGCAATGAGTCATAATCCTCGGCTTAGTCAATTAGATAACACACATACGTCAAACTATACGTCAAACTGATCCTGTCAATGACATTTGACGGGCAACTCCGATACACCGACTTACGTGAGGACTCATGTCTCTGCCCGTATGGTAAATATCTGATTTTACTCACTGATTTAGAGAATCTCATTCCACACAAATGACCTAGATGGGTTTGTTTATTTCGCTTGCAAATTGTACGTCTTTATTAGACATTTTTACGACAGCCAAAATGTGGCAGTGCGATTGGTTCGTCCCCAAGCCAGGATGCGTAAGTTAGGACTTAAATTGCTGGCTCAGGGCCGTGCTGGTGCTTGCTCTCTGCTGCTGTGGGTACTTTTTTGTTGCGTTTTCGGACACTACATTTCTGATTATGCAACATTTGCAAGAACCAGGAAAGCACAAGTTTACCCAAGATTGACTACAGGGGGATGACACGTCTATATACTAGACGTTATACAGTGCTATACGTTATTTTTAGCTTTGCTAACGTCCGATTTCTTTGTCCTTTGGAACAAAGACAAAAAAGAAATTCATGTAACTTTTAGCCAGCTGTATAGATTGCTCGTTGTAGCTTACATTATCTCGCCAGGCTAGGTGACACTTTATAACTATCATTGACAGCTAGATATTTCTTAAAACAAATTTTGTTTACCGTGAATGTTAAACATCATATGATTTGTAAGTAAATGTTTCAAATACATATGGAAAAACAACAAAGCTAAGATTAAGCATGTCAAATTCTGCACCTCTTGATAACGGTATCTAGATCAAGACATTTCCTTCGACCGTTCCTGATATTAGAGTTGAATTATTTCTGGGATAATTTATGTCACTCTGCGTTGAACTTTCTCCAAAGTTAGGAAATGTAGATGTTTATCTCTCAGAATGTTTGGTAATATGTTTATTGTTTGTGATGTGTTTATATGTATGTATTAACACGATGTACTGAACGGGGTGAGAATAGCTTGAGCTACCTCATCCCTTTGTGTGAATTTTACCTCAATAAACTTATTTCAATTTCAATTCAATTTCTCCAAAGCAGACATGTCCTTCTGAAGTTGACGTCTCCATACAGAAGTCCAGATAGGGACACACCAGACTTATACACTTGAATAACCACTTTCATTTTCCTGAAGATTAGTCTCAACTTATTCACCTTGATACTATAAAACTTTTAACTGTATGATGTATTTTGTCGGGAAAATATTTAAAACAAAAATGTTTAGTAGCATATACATATTATTTGTATATACTGATATTTTACTAGTGTTGTGCTAGAGTATTGGTTTATAATTATTCGTGTAACTTATATTTATTTTATGATTTGGTGGTACTTCGTTATAAAGAGGATCAATTAGATTGTTCATCTTTTTTCTGTGTGGTGGTGGTTTTGGCTGTTATGATGCTGGCAGTGGATGTGGTGGTTGTGGTAGTGATTTTGGTGGTGGATGTGGTGGTTGTCGTAATGATGTTGGTTGCAGATGTGGTGATTGTCCTAGTGGTATGTGGTGGTTGTCCTAGTGGTATGTGGTGGTTGTCCTAGTGGAATGTGGTGGTTGTCCTAATGGTATGTGGTGGTTGTGGTAGTGATTTTGGTGGTGGATGTGGTGGTTGTCAAAGTGGTATGTGGTGGTTGGAGGAGTGTTTGGTGGTATTAGTGGTTGTAGTTGTGTTGGAGGGAGTTGTGGTGGTGGTAGTGGTGGTTGTGGAGATGAAATGCTGAGAGGTGGGGACGTCAGGTAATCTGCACTTATCAAGATAACAGTTTTTATCCACCCGACCCCCACTTCCTCGTTGGTTTTTAACCAAGACTGCACGCACCCTCGGGGCTGCCAGAAATACCAGATTGCATGTACTGTAGGTAGACAACTGGTAAACACAAATTAAGAATAGGTACGTGATAACTTCTGCACTCTATTTTAGAATATACTAAATGGGGTACCCAGCTTTGCCTGGGTCTCTCTCTCTCCCCATTTCCCCCTCTTGCAATTCTCCTTCCCTGTCCCTCCTCCCTACCTTATTCCTGGTCCTGTTTGAATTTTGAATTTGAATTCCTATTTCCTCTCCCTCTCTTCAAACATCCTCCCCTTCCACACCTCTCGGTCCAAGGTAAAGCAACTCATTCTCCTAACAGCAAATCGCATTTTGACATACTCTACCTGAGGCCATAAACTGATATACAGCTTAGAGGACATTGATCTAGACAATTCCTTTGATTTCTCACTCGTCATGCTCAAAAAAATGATCTATATAAGTTCGTTTTTTTTCGTGTGGATAGAAATATTTTGCGACCTTTGCAAACACACGTTTTCTCTGCTTTCTCTGGCAATACTGTGCTCCTTGTTCTCTGGATGGCTGTTGGCAATACTGCGTTGTGAGCTGCATGGAGTCTAGATCAATATTGTTAAAAGGCGCTAGGCTGCATGAACAGGCATCCAACGACAACATTTGATATTGTATCGTAGTTTTGCATATCAGTTTTACAAAACATTTCACTAACAAACGCATACAAGGATACATTATTTAAGGTAAAAGTAGACCTAGGCAAATACATTATGCATCTGCGGGCGATGAATCACAGTAACGTGGCTAAAGTATGTTGACCAGACCATACACTAGAAGGTGAAGGGACGACGACGTTTCGGTCCGTCCCGGACCGAAAATCGAATCGACTTGAGAATGGTGCAGGACGGACCGAAACGTCGTCGTCCCTTCACCTTCTAGTGTGTGGTCTGGTCAATACACAATGCATCATTAGATCAGGTCCTTCAAACACTGGCAGTACAAAGATTATGAAACAGTATAATCTAAAACATCTTGACACTTGTAAATAATACAAAAATTAAAACATAACCAAATAATTATAGAGGGATCTATCTCGTAGTAGAGCCTTCGGTCTCGACTTGTAATCGGAGATCCCGGCCGGGATAGATTAAATAATTGGGCACATTTCCGTTCATCTAATGTCTCTGTTCACCAAGCAGTAAATGGGTCCCTGGGAGATAGGCAGCTGTCAGCTGACTGTTGCCGCCGGGGCGGCTATAGTGTATTGTGCACCCCATACTCATCCTGTGAGCGGTAGCCTAATAAGG